AGTCCGAAATTACTTTATGCAATATAATTTCATGTAACTGCAGAAAAAAGAATTGCGGAATGCACCCATTTACTTGCAATTTATATTCTGAAATTAATTGTCCAATTGCTCGGGCTGAACTAGTAATATTTTTTTCTTTTTAAGGCGCTACCAAAGTTTTTCATAAATTACTGTGTATTAAACTAATATCCAGAAAATTTTCTCTTGAGTTTAAATTCGAAATTTTTAATTTTTATATGGAATTTGAAATCAATTAATTGCGGTGTCTGATTGCACCTTAATAAAATTCACTACTAGATTTAAAAATCATAAATGTAGGCATGTATTGTAAATAATCGTTTAATGCTGGATCTTGCTTGGAAAACAAAGTGTTGATTTTTGTCTCTTACTTACGGAAAAGAGTCCCATTAATGGATGATATTGAAATACAAAATAAATTTGATGATTCGTGTGATTTTAGTTTTGGAAGCTACCATTGAAACATTGACGTTAGCTTTTGATAGGGCTTAGTCTCCTCACATAAGAGATAGTGGTAGCCGTGACGCCATGCATAATAAAAAAAATGTTCAGCACATACTTGGAATGTCGATGAAAACAAGGGTGATTCCTTGTACTTATGCATGTGTACAAATACATGAACTTATGTACTTACATATTTATGTATGTACACCTAATATGTACAATATATAGATTTTAGCATTAGTATGTGTAAGGGAGGGTCTGTTAATGTCGCTGTTGTACTGTATGTTCCTTTGTGATTATTGCTGTTGATATGCTTTCGGTACTTTCGCCTTTGTTGTTACTTCTGTTGAAAATTTTGATTTTCTTCATTCCCCTTAGCATTGTTAACGCGCTAGCGTAACACTATTGCCTTGCTTTAACAGAGCTAGTAAATAAGTGCTCCTTTTTTTTCAAATTTTTATACAACTGTTGATTGTCCTCCTTTGGCGGTTGTGTCCGGAATATTGTATTGGTCGATTTCATCAACCAATCACAAACACTTACAAAATGGCCGTGGTTCAATTATACATATTTCCTTTGTGTTGTATTCCTTTGTAATATTTTAATCTTCTTAAAGATTGTGTTAACGTCTTCGCTTTGGCCCTTTGCAATAAATATTGAACGTTTGATATTGCCATTTTGATATTCATAATTTTTACGTGTTTTTTGTGTTACTTCTCAAACTTTCATTTTATACTTTTACCAAAATTTAACTTTTAAGTATTTATCGTATCCATCTGTTTAGAAACGAATGATAATTTCAAGTCATACAACTTACAGGAGTTACTATATGAGTACAAGTAAACCGTTTCCGTTGCGTCGATTGTCAAAATATGCATATGCTAAATTTTAAATGTAAATTTATCGTGAAGAAAGAATGCGTATAAATGGAGAATAGCTCTCATATAGGGCAATTGATTGCGGCAAAACCTTTAATCACAGTTCAAACTTAAGTCCTCATCTAAGTCCTAAGTTTACCTCTCAGTCGCGGTAGTTTTGTTGTATTAAAAAGTCAACTAGATAGTTCGAGCCAAGGGCCTGATAGCAGAGTGATTAGCATTGCGTAGTGCGTTTCGGAAGGCCAGGGCCAGGGTTCAAATAAAATTTAGTTAACTCAACTGCGCTCGCCCCTCGACAGGGGCTGCCAGACCCTCCAAGTGTATTTCTGACATAAAATAATGCTGAAAAACGATAGACAGAAAACCACAAATTGGAGTGGGAACTCGGCCGAAAATACCTTCAGCGGTTACAAAGCGCCAATTATATATTATATGTATATACTTCAGCTTTTGAATTCTATCTGAGTTGGATTTAGATTCTACTATTTTACTGTTCTTTATCCAAATAATTGGCATAGCTTGGTCCGGTTCGATTCTAAAATCGGTTGCTTTTTTAATGATTATTATTGTTGAACTAAGAAGTTTAGGAATTATAATTATCTCCATTATCCGATTTGCGAAGATCCGTAAACCGTAAAGATGGCTTTACTTCTTAATTATCTACTCAGTCCACAGTAGGTTTAACCTGTTGGTAAAAGTAAGTAAGATTTCAAGTTTCCCATTCAGACAAAATAATCTACGACTTCATTGTAATGACGGTCAACAGTCACGTAGGAGTCAAGACGAGAATGCGCTGACTAATTTTTTGATGACAGAAAATATTTCGTCTGTAAGCCAGGACTAACGACATGGTTGTCATGAGTCTTTTCCAAGCCTTAGTGCATGAGGAGAATCTGGCTAATGGTAGATTTGTCATGTCTGAAACTATACCATAATGATAAGGTCTAATTGATTTGTTTATGATGGGGTTCAAGTCTTTCACACAGTACGATATATGCGATATTCAGGAGACTTATCCCGCAATAATTGCGTGTGGGGTCTCTCTTTTTGTGGATTAGGCAGAGCACTTTTAGGTTCCAGTCATCGGGCATCCTTCATTCGCCCGGTATTGCGAGAATTCAATTGAACATGGCAAAAAAGATACATAAATATCAGCTTTATCTCATTGCCTTTCCTAACTTTATTATCTGCGAAACAATCGTAGAATTTCCCGTAAGCAGCGCTAAACTAAGAAGTATATTTCGTTTTGTCTCTAAAAAAAAAAAAAAGATAGCCGGTCTTATTAGGAATTTCATGTAAAAAAAATCCGTGGGGAAATATTGATAGAGAACAAAAACAAAATATCAATTTTTTTTGTTTTATGGTCTCATGAAATTTCGAATCACATCGAATGCTTCATTTTAATTATTTAAATTCAGTATTAAGGTAGCCAAACAGTGATTTAGAATCAATAACCATTTATCTGACTTGCATTATTTTCACTCTTACACTTGCTACGCGGTAAGCACTTCCCGTCTGTCTCATTTCTTCTAAACTTTAATTCTCCTTGCAACAGATCTAGCTTTCGAGTTTATCGCCATATCCCAAATTAAAGAAAATTAATTTGATTACAAATTTTAATCAATTCTTCTAAATGCGGTCGCCCCTCGGCAGGGATTGTCGATCGATTGCCTTGAAATTTTGTCAGATCCTTTCTATGAGGAACCATTTATACGAAAAAAAAATTAAAGTGGAAGAAGAACTACCATTTTCGCAAAAATCCTATTTATAGTTCGATTTACGTGAAATTCGGTATATAGGTGGCTATTTGCTTAGATTGACAAAAAAAAACTAGCATTCTCTCCGGTAAGTGGACCAAGGACTGAGGTACCTACTGAGGGAAATAGTACTTATGATTTCATAGTTGGCTTTTTGCGAAAAAGAAAAACGAAGTACAAGTTCATATGCATGGTTCATTTTAGTTTAGTTTGGTTGATATGTCTAAATGGAAAACCTGTAATTGACAAAATTTATACTTCTCATCAATTAAATTAACCGACTGTGTCCATATTCGGATTCAAGCCATTTCAAATTAAAAAGAAATATCTATGTATACTTCTATTAGCTTGATCGACTTGAGACTAATAATGCTGCAATTACTTTGTTCCTACATCCTGGACAAGAGCATAGAAAACCATAATAAATAAGTACATTGAATTCCCAATAATCAGAGGTGTTATAAAAGCCGACACAGAATTACTTATTTATCAGAATTGAAAATCAATATCCGACTCGATTTTGCTTTTTTCGAAGATAAGCAAAACCGATATTCGAATCAGTTGTAAACCCACTTGTGCAAAAAAAACCCGGCAATTAAATTTAATTTCTGTACCGGGTTTAACACATTTGTGATTATTAATTTAAAATAAAATGACTTCGACAGTTATAGCATTTTTGGTGATAGAAGAATTTGGAAAAATAATCCAGAAAATCAAGCGCAAAAATCCGCTGGAGCTACCAGAGTCGATGTAAGTGCAATTTGTATTCTACTTTTTAATTTGCTAATACAATATTTGGTCTATGAATCGTCCTAACAAAAAAGCCTTTGCAATAGTCCTGAAAACCAGTTACATAGATAGGCTGTCTACCTCATCTGTGCTCCAACTTGCAGTCTCACTGCGGGTTTTCGCAGAAAGCTCCTATAAAGGTCTGTGGTACTCAGATATCACCTTATAACAGAAGTGCTAAAAGCTTTTGGATGTTTGATTTGCCTACGCTGGATAAAGTTAGGAATGAGCGACAATGGAAAACACAGAGCTTGTGGCAATTTTTACATCAAGTACCGCATTCCAGCCATTGCTGGTTGTAAAATCCATTGTTAATGAGTTACATTTTTATGAAAATTTCCGCTTGCAAGGAAATTTGCACACAATTCTGTCAACGAATAACTGATCGGTTTGATTCTGGCATTTAAACCGATAAATCGTTTTCTGTAACACCTAAAACCGGCACAAATTCTGTTTCGAAAATTAAACCGATTTGCAAATCAATAATCGGAATGTGAAACCCCTTCAACAGAATTTTGTCGATTTCAATTCTGATTCCGGCAACAATCTGTTTCTGCAACACCCCTGAGTATGAACTTATTGAAACCAAGCCTGATCGTTTTAGCGAGATCGTTCCTATTTCTGAAAGGTTTAAGAAATAAATAAAAAATAATAATTTTCATCAAAGCCAATAAATAATGATATTTTATTAAAATATTTTTTTGTTGTTACTTATACGAAACTTCTTCATTCGCTTTTTCAGTACACAAAGAATACTATAAGTAATAAAAAAAAATACTTAGATATAAATTTCTATGTGTGTGGTATGCTTAATACCGAATCTTTCTTAACTTTTTATGGTACGTTGGAGCCAGTTTGTGTGTAAGTAAGTCAGAATGTTATTGGGTTATATGATTTTTTCTCAAAATGATGTCGGTCCTTTTTTCCAAACTTTTGTATACTAAAAGTAAAAAAAAAAACTTTCGGGTATAGCCAGCTTCTATATTTGTTCAGGTAGCTGTAATTCGATCATTAAAATTTGAGTTAGTTATGTAAGTTGAAAGTAAATAATTTATTTAAATTAAATAATTCCAATATTGTATTTCATTATTCTTAAAAATTTGTTTATTTACAGGCCTTGCCAGATTGCCTTCCACAAAAATTGCAACAAGCATTTTTTAAAATATCTTCCAAGCTCTTTATATTTGAAAAATATAAAGGATATTCGTGATTTTATAGATGTATTTGTGTGGAAATGTGCTCGTATTTAACATAAATTTAACGAGAATAAAAATAATTTTACGCTAGAACTGTGAGGAAATCATTCGTCATTTTGTAATAGCGGATGCTGGTCAAACTTGAAGATTGATAGAAATAGAAAATAAAAATTGGCATGAGCCATCCGTCTGGATTCCGGAAATATGAAGATAATGAGTGTAGTGGGCCTAGACCACCAGTACCCGGAGAAGAAAGTCGAGTTAAAAAGGTAAATATAAGAATGGTAATAATAAGCTAAGCATTCTAATGGTTTTTAAATTTCAGATGACCGAAGGGGTGGCTGACAGTTCCCGGAATTCACCACCTTCATATTTAAATTGGGCGAGAACACTTAACCATCTTCTCGAGGACCGTGATGGGGTAGAGCTTTTTAAGAGATATGTTGAAGAAGAAGCACCTGGCTATAATGACCATTTAAATTTTTATTTTGCCTGTGAGGGTCTGAAACAGCAGACGGATCCTGAAAAAATTAAGCAAATTATAGGGGCGATTTATCGGTAATACTGTTTAATGTTATAAATCGAGAAAAATGTACTTAAATTTTTCATTTTGAAAAGGTTTTTACGAAAAAGTCAGCTATCAATACCTGAAGAATTGCGTCGATTAATAAAAGCAGGCCTTAAAAATGAAGTCTCACTTAACTCTAATATATACGATTCAATGCAACAATATGTTGAGTCTACCATTCGTGACAACATTTATCCGAGCTTCCTTTGTTCAGAAATGTACATTCTGTATATTCAACAAATGTCAGTTTCACATGAACGATTTGGGAGTGGAACAGCTGGTTCGGGCAGCGGAAGTAGTAGTGGTGCTAGCTGTGGGAGCAGTGGTGCTGGAATCGCTACAGGAGGGCCGTGCGTTTTACCTACAAGTTCCGGAAAAACAGCTTCGTCTTCGGTAGCCGCGTTCATTAATTTGCCTATAACCGCCTCTGGTAGTAATGTACCTCTTGGTGGTGCTTGTAGTGCAAGTGGGAGCGTTTATGGCCCTTCAACATCAGCTAGCTCCAGTGGTTCTGTTAGCGCAACTGATACGCTGCCCCGGAGCTCAACATTACCAACACTGCATGAAGATTCCGAGTTATCTCTTTGTGATGATTTTGAGAAGCTGCGTGTGGAAGGTAATCGCATAGCCGATATGCCGATACGTCTTACACACGATTTACTACTAGCAACACAGAAGAGAAGACTAGAAATACGACCTCCTGGGTAATTAACTAATAATGTAAATTTTTAAGAAAAATATAATTTATATAAATTATTTGTAGAAACTAAGAACATGGAATGCTAAATGCAAGATTTGTAAATAGAACTATATATAGTACACATATGGTTATACCTTTACAGTAGACTTGATTAGATTGTTATGGTTTTTATTTATCAATTAAAAAAAAAACCAATTACATATTTTATTAATAATTTAATAATTTTTTTAATAATATATTTATTTTACATTTATTTTCATTTATATTCATCATGACTTATTATCCACAAATCCTGCAACACATCAACAACAAATCAATGTACCATACAACCAATAATTCCATTCGGCATGCTACATATTATTCTACGATTATACTAATGCAATTTATATGCATACATATATGTGTACGTCTTGATCCCTACATATTGGTTTAATAATTTAAATTTATTTGCACTATATATGTTTTGTACATGATGTAATTGGAAACATTGCATGGATATGATATTGTGTTTTATACCAACCTACCCCGCATGCGAGTAGCGCTCATGGTTATGTATATCCAGCGAGTGCGAATACTTCTTATATTCCGAATTCGCGTGTGGATTCGGAAAGGGCGAGCGTAAGTTCCGGTGGTCGAACTGATTCTGATACTATGTCGTTATCTAGTTGCTCTATGTAAGTATTTATAAATATTGTATTTTTACTTGTAAAATATTACAATTTATTCATACAGCGTGACAGCAGTCATATATATTTATCATGTTTAATTAATAGATTTATTTGTACTAAGTGATATGAATTTTAATTTGAAAGTATTTTTTTTTAAATTGCAGGGACGGACGACCGTACATTCAGAGAAGACATAGTTCAAATGAAAGCAAAGCTATACGTCAAAGTGCGATGGCCAACAAAGAAACTAATACTTTTCAAGTAAGTAACAGACAAGTTGCATTTTAATGTGCCAATTGTAGGAATGGGGAATTACATATTCTGATTTTTAGGTCATCCCTCGAACGCAACGCCTCCACTCGAACGAACATCGTCCTCTGAAGGAGTCTGAGCTAATAGCACTACTCATTCCAAAACTAGAAGAAGTTAAACGAAAACAAGACATCGAGGATAGGGCTCGATTTGAGGTATATTACCGCATATATATTTACTACTTTACTTATTCAAAAATTGTGTTTTTGCATTGGGTTTAGCACTTTGCGGACGATTCAATGCCGACTAATGAAAGGCTTGCCAGTGATCGCGCATTCGCAGATGCGATTCGTGAAAAATTTGCGTTGGAAGAGGATAACGACCAAGATATACTTGATCAGCATGTATCTAGAGTGTGGAAAGATCAAACTCCTCACCGTTCGCCTGGTACTATGTCGCCGTGTCCGCCCCTTCCAACTCGTAGACGTACTATAACCCACGATTCAGGAATGCTAAGTGATGGTGCTATGAGTATAGGTAGGTACCTAACATGTTACTTATAACTATACAGAAGTTATACATTTTTTTATGAGCATACGACTTTTTTATTTGCACTCGATACGGGAGTATGAATTCCATTGGAAACCAAGTTGTTCTTCCCAGAAACAGAACTAACGCCGCGGTTGTTAGGTCCGGTGTTGTCAATATCATCATCGTCGGTATAGGCCATCGGTTGTAGATTTGATCCTTTTCTTAAACCATTTACACATTCAAGATTGATGTAATAAAATGTTAACAATATCTGAGCAATTTGACTAACAGAGGGTCAGCCTTAAGCAAAAGTCGATTCATATTGTTCATGGTGCATTCTTTTCTTGAAAATTTTTCATCGAAACCCGATCTATAAATTCGATAGTATTTATTTCGAGCTGCAGCCGCTTCCTCGCTCTATCACCGATTGTCAAAATGGCCAATGAAATTACTAACGCGCTGTGAGTTAGAGTTTATGGACGGTTGGAAGCAGAGGGTATCTACTGTATAAATTAAGATATAGCCTAGGTGTATTCAAAGCGAAATTCGAAAATTAAAATTGAAAACCAACCTTCAAGCCAAACTCAAAACTTCAAGTATGATGAGGTATCTTTACTTTAACGTACTACCATCAACTTCGGTTATTTCAGCTGACTTTTCGAAGTCACTGAAAAGGTGTTCCCAAAGTAAGCATATTGAATTATTTTTTTCCCCACTGCAATTTTTTTTCTGAACCTTATTTGGGCGAAAGTTATGGCAGATATTCAATGCGCACTAGAAATTTTGAAATTTTTGTTGTGGCACCACATATATAACAGTTTTGCAGTTGTAGACCATTATGGTTATTTCAAAATTTATTACTTTAAAAAATTCAAGTTTACTCTTTAGTACACTTACCATTTGCTTGTTAGTTTAATTTCTTGAATATTACCCTTCTTTATTGGTACAACATGAAAGTACTTTTTCGTAATTAACTTTATTAATTTTTTGGCGTAAGTCTCTAGGGTTCTGTTCTCAAAGGTAGATAGGTAGCGGCTTAGATGTTTTTCTTTTGCGCACTAATTTTTGGTCATTAGGGGTTTGTTTCCGTATTTTACGTGTACATCTCCTTTTGCTGTGAATATAACACCGCTGTTTGTAAGATGGGATTGCATTTCGACAGCTTCGTATAGCTTTGATCTGGTAGTATAAGCTCTAGAGTCGTCTGGGAGCTATCGTAAGGGTCAATTGTGCCCATAAATGAGGCTGGACGAGAGTGTCAGAATTATCGTTTCCCATTCTTGTTTTCGCTGTAGTTGCTGACCTGAAAGCTTTGGACCAGTTAGACGTAGGATATTATCGTTAAGCTGATTTGATCTTCCACATTTGTTCCGACCTTCATTGCACTATCGCTTCCCCATCACTGGTTCTGAAAGATTTTGAAAAATCTTGACGGTCATACATAGCAGGCAGAATTATTTATATGCAAATTTAAAAAAAAAATGTTGTTGTACTTAGAGCTTCGATAAATAAACACAGTATTTCTTAAGTGGTTTGAAACTACATAGTTTTATGTGGAATAGGCATAGAAATGAAGTCAAGTTTGAATGAATGCAGAACACCAAAATATGAAATTTAAGTATTTCATTCTGGTTTCGCTCGAAGTTGTACACTAAGTAATGACCTTTTCACAAAGCCCGAGTGCAATAATATCTTCAAATTAATATTTAAACATTTATTAAGAAAAATCTTTTCCTTTTGCGCATTGTCCACCAAAATTCAACGTTTCGAAATATATTCAATTTAATGGGCTATTAAAAATAAAGGTTCTATAAAATAATAACTTTGTAAAAAAGTTGTAATAATCATTCATTTTTCTTTGACGATGATCGACTACAACATTTCAGATTTAGTGCTATCGATACATTCAATAACAAATTTAACCTTTATATTTTCACCTTCAAAATAACAGTAATACCATATACATATATACATTTCATATTAGGGGGACATTCTATGAAGCACTCGAAATCTATGCCGGACCACAGTTCCTCCTCCAGGAAGCTAACAAACAAATGGCCTTCCATCAATACCGATAGTGGAATTAGTCTGTTTTCAGCCGATACTCTTATGAAGTACAAAGACACCAGGTAAATAAGAAAATGACAATAATTGTACTATAGTCCTCAATAATTTATTGATACTTTTACATAAAGTTCACGCTCTGGTTCGAGTACGGCCTCTAAAGCAGAAGAGGCAAAAAGAAGACTGGAAGATGAGACCAGAAGGTCTCGTCGCCATACCCAACAATATGTTCAACCCTCACAGCAACCACCATCATTTAGTAGCAGTAGCAGCGGCAGCAGTAGTTTACATCATCAAACACAACCACCACCGCTTCCCGCAAAACCACAAGAAAGTACGACTGTTGTGTTCTCTTTCTGTGACGAGGAGTATCCTTACAGAACAAAAATTCCCGGTTCACAACCCACCCTAAAGCAATTTAAGGACTATTTGCCTAAAAAAGGCAACTTCAGGTGAGTCTTGTAGCACAATTCTAGTTCTATTCAAAATTTTAATTTTAAATTTTTTGTATTTTATTATTACTGTTGAAACCTAAAGGTTTTTCTTCAAAACACATTGTGAAGATCCAGAGAGTCCAGTGATACAAGAAGAGATCGTGAATGACGGTGATATTCTGCCCTTATTTGAGGGCAAAGTAATGGGCCTAGTAAAACCATCCGATTAGGACTTAGGCAAATATCTTAATGACTAAATGATAAAACGAGATTAATTATAACGGCAACGAACACAAGTAGCAGCAACGAGTGTCTCTCAAAGAAATAATTTGTATGAGTATCAAGTGCATAAAATAAGGTTGACAAAACAAAACGCTAAACTTGAAAATGTAATTAGTATTTAGAATTAATTGAGAAAATTACATGAAAATCAAGTTTTTTAAAAACAATATGTATTTTTAAATTTTGATAAAAGCATAATAATATGTATATAGTAGATATCTCGACTTATGTATTTTTATAACAATTTATTGGTGTTACGCATGTAATATTTTGTTTTCGCCAACTTTGTCAACGATTTGCTATTTTTTGGCTTATATTTACGAAATGCATCGGAAATTTAATATGAAAGTTAAAATCTACTAAAATGTGCTTTTATGGACTGCCTGCAATATATTTTGTTGAAATACATATGTATAAGACGCTGCCTTTATTGCAGCATAAATCGTTCTCGATCACGAAAATCAAAAGTATTTGATAAGAGTTATGGTAATTTTGTTTTATTTTTTTAATATTTTATATCCGCTAAACCTATTGATAACGTTATTATTATATTTAATTAACAGTACTGTAATTTTTTATAAGTTAAATTCATACTCATTTAAATACACGTTTATACTAATGTAATAGTATATACTTATTTTAGATGACACATTACATGTAATTGAACTTCATATTTAAAAATATTAAACAAATTTAACGCATCGTTAATGAAATGTGGAAAGATTCATACTGATGTTTTTTCGAAGTTGCTTATTAATTTAAGGCGTTTGCAGCAAACGATTTTTAAATTTTTGAAGAGCCGTAACGTAAACTAATGATCTTACGTCACTTAAAAAGTCCTAACCTAAAAAATATATCTTTTTGTAATTCAAAAGCGCCAACTGAAGTACAAAAATATATTTCGAATACTTTCTCTTAGACGTTAGTAGTGTTTCTTGCTTCTCTAAATTTAATTATTGTCAGTAACGACGGTTCTACATTTCGTAAACGATATGCTCATATTTTACTTAATTCTACAAAATTGGCAATCTATATTGTACGTACGTGTGCATCATTTAAAATAAGATAGGATACATTCATTCAATACGTTTACGAGTGAATAGGCTACTCAACTAACTTATGATTAAAAATCAAAGAATATCGATATTTTTTTAAGTAACGGACAAAATATTGTACGTCCAATGTCATCGAAAATTGTGTTTGAATAGGAAAATAAATAAATGATAGTAATTAAAAAAATACGATCCATGATTACAAAAAGAAGGTTGGTTCAGGTAAATAGCTATCCAAAAATAACTAATATATACATATACATACTTCGCGTATATTTCTGGCATGAAGTCCAAATCCCCTCATAATCCTGTCAGGAGGAGGCTAAGAATAAATTGTAAGTCCCTCCATCCTCCTTGGGTAAATCAACAAGATGTACATCATAAATTGTAGAAGGAGTTCGTCCGAAAATCGGTTCAGCGGTTACAAAGCGCCATCAAATTGCAGCGGTTGAGTTATTTCTTAGCTACACATGAAGGCGCGTACATGTTAATTCACCTGAAGATCTAAACGTACCAAATTTCAGTCGAATCAATTTCGAATCAGAAGGAGAGGGTGAAAGGTTTTTCTTTTTAATCTATTCGAGTAGAGATGTAATTTTTTTTTTTTTTTTTTGAAAACAGTTGATTTAATTTTATTAAAGAGTAAAACTATCTTGAGTTTCGAAAAAGAAACATAAACAAAAGAAACAGCTCATTTGAATATTACCAACCGTGTTGCCACACCTTTTTCGGAGATTCGGAGATCCAGCTACCCTAAAAGCTAAAAACTACAAAAGGAGCTTAAATTACAAAACAAACAATTCCATTGGTTTTTAATTTTTAAGAGCACAGTAAAGTAGAAATATATTATACATGCATAATAAATGAAAATATTTCCCCAAATACTTTAAAGTGCGGATGCATTAGTTTTCTTAATTTATCTATCTAATTATAAATTAATGTTAAATACTTATTTCGATCTTTTATTGGTGTACGAGTATAAGCACAATTTTTACTAGACTTTTTATGCTTTCGATCTTTCACAGTTATTAGCCGTGGCAATTAAAATCTCAAGAAGTGTTTAATATCTTGTTCAGAACGACATCTAAAATACTTTTAAAACATAGCTGTTGCTGATTAAACTTAAGATTTTCATTTATTCAATTTTACATTTATGTTCTTAACCTTCATTTACTTTAAAACATTACTGAATTTTTTAAATATGGTATCACTTTAATTTATTTCGTTAAAAGTTTCAAATTTTAACGAAGCGTTCATATATGCATTCATATACTTCATTTTAAATTTAGTTTGTACAGAACGTTTGAAGAAAGAAAAACGAAGAGTAAGTCTTTTGAATTGTTAAAATAGTTCTTTATTTAAAATAATTTGATTTTAGATATTAAAACTGTGCTGTTGATTTGAATGTAAAAACTCAATAAACCGCTTGTTTGTAATACTCGTTTAAGTTGATATTCTTTCGAACGTTTATTTGCTGCCGCAACAATAGCTGAAGATGGTTATTAACTACTCCCGACGTACTATAGGTATTAAAATAATAATAATAATAAAAGCTAGTATTATATTGATCAAAATAAGCGAATATTAAAGTATCAAAATTAGTGAAACAATCCAAACTCCATTGCAGCAATTTTTCGTTTTGAAAAATAGTGGAGCATTTGAATGTTCACAGAAGATGGGAATTCTAATGAGGTAATTATTTGTTATCATCCATCGGTTTATGCAAAGTGTAAGGAAAAACATATTTTCTTTATAACTTTTTTTTCGAGAATTTAGCTTAGTTTTCTTGTTCCGCCGGATCCAGACGTTTTTGAGTAGATAATTCAGTAATTAACGTACTTTATACTACCTGACCCATTTCTGTTTTACATACATATATACATATAATAATATATAACAATAGTAATTTTTTATTTAAATTAATTTTCTATAACTTTTAGATGTTTTACTCAATGCTAACCATTCGGCTACCTCTGCCGCCAATATCTCTTAATTGGACATAATTCTTACTACAACAGATACTTGATTTTTTAGGCGACCAATGAAATTAACTGTATATGTGCACTCTCATTGAATGTATCTTTGCTCTTAAACCGAATTTGCCGTTTATTTAAAAAGATCTAGCTTTCTCTAACTTTGTTCTAGGCATCTCTAAGTATTTATTTAAACTTTAACTAACTGTCCCTATTATGATTGACGCGATATCGGTCAACACTAACACATGTGAAAGTTGTTTTGTTTTCCTTTCTCTTCTGATTACATAAAAATTGTAAAAGATTGTCGGATTGTCAGTTTTATTTCCTGTCCTTATTTGCGAAGACCAATTTGTTTTTTTTTTTTTAATTTTTGTTTAAGAACAATCTATTTGTCCTCCCTGTCAGTGCTGAAACATGTATGTAGAATTGCATCATTGTTGCTGAAAATAAGTTTTGAATGCAATTAATAATTTAAAATTGCCATATATTTCATTCAAATACTTAAGCAGAAAGCAATGAACTGTGAAAATTAGCAGATTCAAAGGAACTAACAAAACATACAGCAGTTGTACAACTTGCTGGCTAATTTTTACTGATTTCTGTTCATTATTTAAAAAATATTCGTATTCACGATGCAATGTACTTCACGATGCATTTTGTATATATGTGATATTATTTTTACAAACTCTCGCCACGCCATTTATGACCTCTGACTTGAAGTCATTCAAAGGAAAGTTTGAACAGTTTTGTAAAGATTTGAAATATCAAATTTATTAATATTTTATTTTGAACATACAAATATATTATTTAATTAAATATACACATTTATATATATATACAAATTTTTCTTAATTGTTGCTGTTTTACAAGCTGTTTTGTTTTGTTCATCTTCTATTTTTCAAAGACCAGATAAGATTAGTATCCCTCATCAGATATTTGAATTTCATAATTCGGAAATTTCTCGAGCAAAATTCTTCTCGTTTCAGCGTGGTCGGCTTTCCCGAAACCCTGATAAAATAAAAATATGTACAAATTTCACTGATTTATAATATTTTATAAGTATTTTATTGTTCCCTACCTGTGAATATCCATACACTTTTATTAGTTTTAAATCTGGATTGTGTTCAATTCGCCCGCCGCCAAGACACTCCGTTTCTAATCCAATTCCCTTACAAGATTCGCTAGATCGATCGTATATATCAGCTAAATGAAAGAAAATTTATAATAAAGTTAAATATTTTATTACATCAATTTGGCTTCATTGTTTTATATGAAACATAGGTTTGTCTGATTTAATATATGTATGTATATATTTATTGGATCGGTATAAACATAAATATCTTCAAGGATAACTAAATAAAATATAATTACAATAAAATATAATTTTTTATTTTGATTTTAGTTATTTCACTTAAAAGTAATGATTTATTTAAGTGAACCTTTTACTTTTCTGATCAAAAATCTTTTTTTTATAATTATGATTTCTGACAAACAATAAATATAGACAAAGCTATCTATCGTATTGATGTCATCTCAAACATAGTCGAGTCATAGGTTCGAGCCCTGGTCAGGCCCACAAATATATTCACTAAGTTAACATAAAGAAATTATTTTAAACTCGACATCAATTTACAATATGATGTTAGTTAAATTAGGGTCATTGTGCGTATTGTCCAAAAAACTGAATTCCATTTAAAAAAAATAATGCATCTTTCAACCTTTAGATCTAATATTAATTTCCGAATTGAAGAGTGATTTTCTAGCATTCACTTATTTTTATCCGTCAGAATCATTATAAAGTCTTTGGTTATAAAAATAGATCATTCATTTGTGGACACGACAAATATCTCCATACAAGCAACTTTTACCTCCCCCTATTGAAAAAATTTAAATTTAAAATTTCCGCCTGTTAAAACCAGCAAGTAGGAAAAACAGCTGGTTTGTGATCATTAGATAGAATTTTTGCCAACAAACTAAATTAATTTAAAGTAAAAATAAATTATAACTTTCATATAAATGACACGATAGCAAAATAAATGCTCAAACCACACAGCCCACGTTCATGAATTAGAAGTTAGGAATGTTGCCGGCAGAGGTACAATGTAAGCCGATTTAGAAATCCTTTAATTTACCAGAAAGTTTTTTCTATAATCTAATTTTATTCAAACAGAATTTTAACGGCTTACACGGCAAAACAATTCTAAACTCATTTTCGTATTTCAATCATCTTTCCTAAAAGTTTAATATCTAAGCGACAAATTGCTGCGAATGATGTTCTACATAAATATTCGTCCCTTTAAAGAACTATTTCGATTGTATTATCGATTGATGACTATAAACCATGTAGTTTTTCATCATTGCTGAAAACTAATACATTTTGAATACAACGAATAAAGTAAAAATAGAATATTATTGCTAATTTTATAAAATACTAAGGAAAATACTTAAAACAGAAAAAATAATCGAACGAATTCAAATTTAAGCGTCAAAATAATCAGCTGTACAACTTTCTGGCTAATTTTTTACTGATATTTCTCAACGAACACAGGGGTGAGTTTCAAAACGCCAGTTGCAAAACAACCATACATTGTCACGCATACCCAAATGTAACTATGCCGATGTATCTTGTTCCAAAACGCATCGGTAAAGTTATTGATGCGCAAACAAGAGCAAACTGCGCATCGCTATGATTATTGCTTTATTTGCTTTATTTTATCATAAACTCTTAACAACAACGGCCGGCGTCGGAGAGCATGAAGAAGTCTTTTTCAACCTTCATGGATACCATTCTGCCAACGTGCAAATGATGAGAGTAAATTTTTTTTTCAATTACTATTGTAGTAACTAAGTTCATTATATTTGTACATAGATATGTGATCCTTATCACAAGATTTTGGTTTTGATTTAGTAAACTTTGTAATGTTTTGCTATTTATTTAATAAAAATAATTGATATAACCAATTTATTTGTTTTTGTCATTCCTCTAACTGAGTTAGAGAATTGCATAATCAACGTTAGCGCAAGCGAAAAAAATTCGCAAGTTAGCGATCCGGCAAATCGTGTCGATAAAATGTCAATTGTTTTTATATATGTCACAAATTTTTCGAAAAAGAACTGCAATCAAAATTTTATCTTTTTTTTTCATGAAAATAGTACAATGCCTACACATCAATTTAGTTTTCGCAAAAAACAGGGCACAATTGAACGAGCAAATCGTATATCCAATCACAACAGCTGTTTCACAGAGTAGTGTTCTTGGACAAATATTTTAGATGCTGTACGTCAGCGTTTGCTGATGATACTGCTATAAAAAGACGGTTTAAATGCCCCACGACTTCAAAAGTGTTAGAGCAGCACCTTAAACTAATTGAAGAATGGCTAGCAAACACATAACGTGCCTATCACACAATCTATCGAAATCATATGACATACCTCCCGCAAGAAGATGCAGCAGAAAGGTTAAAATTTGTATTGGATTTTATTCAAGAAATTTGGGCATAGCCTTGAAGAAAGAAATTCCTTTTTAATAGGACTATAAAACCGATATGGATGTATGGAATCCAATTATGGAGCTCAGCTACCGAAAGGGCTTACTATCCTTGTAATGAGTAACACTGATCCAGCTGCCAATGTGCTATTTTATTTTAATTTAGTTTTTAAGATTAGTTTAACTTGTTAATAATTACAGTGCTCTCATATATATTAAGCTTTTTGAGAGGAAAATAAGTGAAAACTTATTTTCATATTAATTATACCATAGCGTGACATTGTCTGCGAGCACAAGTATTTGCACATTTTTCGATTTTCATGAATTAGACATTTAGACACTACTATTTAGAATATGATTACTCAGCAATAGTAAACGGATATATATTATATAAACTATGTCAGGGAATTCTCTGCACGCCCAAAAAACTAAGCGCAAGCAATCTTCTGTCTGAGTTTACACAGCGATACGTTTTTTCGAGGAAACACTCGTTTGTTGGGGAGAGGGCGACGACGAAGTCGACAGCGCACTGTGTCGCAGTGCTCGTTCGACATGTTTTGTGTTTCTATTTGTCTTAAATTTCAAACGAATAAATGCAGTAAATTTCAAAATTAAAATTTGGGTTTTTACTACAATACAGTGCCTCAAAAATGAACTCGGACACACAAGTTATATGACTTAAAACAAAAAAATCTATAATAAAATGCAAATCGAGGGCTTTCTGTTTAACATATATTTCTATGTGTATTTTTCAAAACAACCAAAACCACAAACTAAATTCAACTCGGTCGTATAAAAAAAATATGAAAATAACAACTTAACAAAACTGATGACAAAAAAGAACTCGGACATATACATAAGATAGAATTTAAAAATATTATTTAAAGAGAAACAAAATGTTCTTAATATTTGGTCGGCAAGCCTTTACTTTTTCTGATAGCATTCAGTCTTCTTGGCAAAGATTCAACTAGCTTCTTGCATGTTAAAGAATTTATTTTCCCCCACTCTTCCAAAATAGCGGCTTCTGGGTCTTTCTCATTTCTAATAACATGCATTTTCAGTTTATTTTCCAAATGAGCCCACAGATGTTCAATTACGTATAAATGTCGGGAGATTGAGGTGTCTCAAGCACTTTAGGACATTTATACATCAGCCATAGACGGACATCAAGTGCTTTATGCTTGGAATGGTTGACTTGGTAGTACTGGAAATTGTATTTAATTCCCAACGTTTCCGCACTTTGCACTAAATTTTCTTTTAAAATGGTCAGATATTGCTTGTGGTCCAGCACCAGCTGCGGACATACAACCCCATGCCATTACTTAGCCGCCCCCGTGTTTAACAATCGGACCTAAATTCTTTTCTAGCAACTCTTCTTTCGGTTTTCTCCAAACATACGACTGTCCATCTGACCTAAATATATTAAATTTGCTTTCATCTGCAAATAAAACTTGTTTCCAGAATTTAAAATCCCCATGACATTTTGCAAATTTTATCCTTTTGTTTCGGTTAAGCTCGTTTATAAATGGTTTCTTCCGTGCTACTCTTCCATTATAACTATTTTTTCGTAAGACTATTCGGATACTCTCCGGATTACAAAATATATTGAGGAATTACAAAACTTCTGTTGAGAGCTTGGGAGCGCTCATGTTTGGATTTTTTTTGATTTGCTGCACTATCCACCGCTCATCTGCAGCCGAAAACAAATTCGGTCGTCCAGACTTCTTTTTGTTTTCCACGGATTTTGTTTGTTTGAATCGTTTAATCATGTCATGCACAGTCGATTAAAATGCCAAGCAACTGAAATATTACCAGACTTCTTTTTTGGCGAAATTTCTAGCATGCAACATGTTAATTTTTTGAAGTAAGTGTATAGGAGACCTATAAACTATTTAATTTGTTTGTTCTTGGTATTTTTTAAATCCTTATTGGATACCCTATAGAAACATAAAAAACAAAAATGCTTAATATCAATTGGTTAAAAAAAAATCTAGCTTGAAAGTGCATGTTAATAACAGTGGAATGTATGTCCGAGTTCTTTATTGAGCCACTGTCTATATATATATATATTAAGAAATAAATAAATAAAAGCCTTCCTTTACACACATATAGCATTTTTATTTCAGAAATTTTGAAAAGCGTAAAGCAAACGAAAAATTGCGAGTGTGAGATAAAGCGAAATTGAGGGAAAAAAGGAAGAAGGAACAAATGTCAAAAAAATTGCTTTAAGAAACTGTATCTATGTGAACGTGAAAGGCGACACGAAAAGGGAAATAAGCGACAAAAAGAATTACCATGTCATGTAAACTCAGTCTTTCAGTGGCTACTCAATTGAGTCAGAGTGTACAATCCCTGCCAAAAAATTTCAAATAAAAATTTTAGGCAAATTGGCATTTTACCAAAACAACATCGGAACAAAAACGCTTAGGGCCGAGTTCACAATGTCCCATTAACTTAATCTTTAACCGTTAAATAGCTTACCGTCGGATAGACTCATGTGACATTTTCGTTTCCACCAAGTTCTGGTTACCTCAATTCCGGTTAGTTTGATCATTGTCAATATTTTAAAGTAAATTCACAAAAAATTGCGATGTGAATACATCAAAACTGCATAACAGCTGGTATGTGCTTACATTTTCCGTTTTTTTCTATTTTTTTTAAATTTATTTAGCGGTTATGGTTCGTCATAACCACTACCATCCAATTAAAAGATGTCCCTAAATTCGTTTTGTTCAAACCAGTGGATCAGAAAGCTATTATTAAAAACAATGCTATCATGTCCAGAACCAGGTCACCTGCGAACAAAGGCCATTTTAATTGACTGGTAGTAGTTATGGTGTGTCAGCAACTGTATGATGTGTCAACTTTGACATCCCAATTTTCGTGGTGACGTCTTTACAATGAATATCAAATCCGTACTCGAAATTGCATATCGAGGAGCTATGGATTGAATACATTGCTGATATCTAGAATGACTTCTAATTCGTTTACACAAACAAAATACGAGTTTATTTGTTTTTGTACTCTTGCTACTACCATGTGTCCAATTGTCATGTCAATTTATTTTTATTAAATTACAAATGTTTTTCCATAACCATAAAATAAATTAAAAAAAAAAAAACGGAAGATCTTAAGAATTACTCAACCATATCGTGTGGAAAAATGTAAGCAAATGCCAGCAGTTTTAGTGTATTTACATCGCAATTTTTTATGTATTTACCTTAAAATATTCACAATGATAAATATCATCCATAACCAGAACTTGGTGGAAACGAAAATGTCACATACGTCTATCTAACGGTTAGCTATCCTCCGGTTAAAGGATAAGTTAATCGGACATTGTGGAATTGGTCATTAGGCGAGCACCTTTGAAATTTATAAAATTTTTTAAACTTATATGTTAATAACATAAAATATCAGATAATTCGTGCCACATAGAATAATGAATAGTAGAATATTATTATTAGTTATAAGCAAACACAGAATTAAGCACTTACAATGCCATTGGCAGTCTGCATAACCGCGGACAATATTTTTATGATTGCTTTCATCTTTTCCGTACACTTTTATTAGCACATATTTATATATTCCTTCTCCTATTTCAACATTCGGAACAGCATCCAACCTAGTATCGACCATTTTGGTAAGCCTGCGAAAAACTTAAGCAAATAAAAAGTTTTTAAATAATATTCGATCAAAATTTATGCAAATATTTACTTGATCCGGCAAATAATCTCAACATTTCATTTTGTAGAGATAGGTTATTGTTTCGATTGTAAAAAACTCTCCAATTCTTTACTGCTATCGATTGGTCTAATGGACTGCACTTAACCCGTATGCTTTTCTACAGCATCGTAAATTACATTGTTCGTTCTCTCAATTACGAATGCGAAGTTCCCCCATTCACAAGGAACGCAGTTTGACAGTTTTCGGTTTCGCTTGTTTGGTCCATTTGAAAACGCATGGAGAATGAAAGAGTTTAGTAGAAGTTAACAAACCCTTGAACTGAATGGGTAAAAGGGTAATTCGCTCGCGAAAATTTGTATGACGTATTAAACAATAAGGAATGTAATTGGATTGCGAATTAGGATTGAGAGGGCGAAACACTTAATTGGGCTGTCGTGGAAATGCCGTATAAATCTACGGATGTGTAAAACGACTGAGTACCAGTTGTCATTTTAGCAAGTAGTTTGTTCTGGATAGTAACTTAAGTAGAATTTTCGATAATATTATCGATAGTTTTCCATTTTGACATCTTTTGAATACAATAATAATAACTCTTTGCCAAGTATTTGGTTTATTTTGATACAATTGTTAAAGACGTGTTTATTGAGAGCTGATATAATGAAAAACAATTCGGATAATGAAATTGAAATTGCTATTACCCAAATATCAACACTCGAAAGATGCTGTATTTGTAGCGAGGTGGATACGTCTCTATCAGTGATAAATGAAAGCTACCTTGGATCGCCTCCTATATTATTAAGTGACTTACTACTACAGTGTTTCGATTCAAACACCAAATATCTCGAGGTACTTGGCGAAAAGGACAAAATTAACTACATTTGTGAATTATGCCAGAATTCTCTCTCAGAATTTTATGACGCTTTGCAAAAGGTGTCCCTGAAACGATTAGAATTCTTAAACAGAGTGAAAGAAAATAAAACCACCAATGATGCCATTGAATATTTTGTCACAGTTGGCTCTGCAGATAAAGGATTGGATACATCATACGAATTAAGAACCAGTAATAGTGATGACCAAACATGTCAAGAAGAATTTATCAAAGTAAATGATTTAAACGAAGAATACATTGAGTTAAATTCTTCCGAGGATGAATTTGTTGAAGTTAACCAACCAGATGAAGTATTCGATGATAGTTGGTCATCAGATTATTCAAATGCTTCTCATGGTAGTTTTACATCCATATTAATGAAATAAATAATTAATTAAATGTTTTTCTCTTTAGATACTGATGTGAACCATAGACAAAAAAGGAAATCCTTGATAACTATCGAGCGAATGCCTGAAGGTAAACTGAGGTTCTGTTGGAGGTGTGATAAGAACTTCCCATCTGATGATGCTTTTGAATATCATTTAAAATTAGATCATACAAAAAATAAAAAAACTATTTATTCCTGCCACAATTGTAAACAAAAATTTGCTACACAAAAAAAACATAATATGCACATTTGTTCTGCCCATTTATCTAATAAGTTTTGCTGTAAAGTTTGTAATGCTGTGTTTAATTTGGCATCAGATCTTAAGTCACATAAAAAAGTACATGAGGGTCCTTCTTGTGAAAAAGATACGAAGACAATATCTCCTCACCGAAATGTTCAACGACAGCAGATGATACATCGTTTGGATGAAAAACATCAATGCACAGAATGCGGAAATAAATATGCATCGAAGGCATTCCTAGAAAAGCACTTATTAGCTCATAAAGATGTCCGCAGTTTCGTGTGTCCAGTATGTGATTTTACATTCCGAACTGCTTGGAATTTAAAACGTCATCAGAAACTACATTGTCTGGGAAGTTTAAATCGCAACTCAGATTTCTTTAAAAGCACTTGATAATGGTCATTGGGTTCATGGTTTACTTAAAATAAATATATCTAGGTTTGTAAAATAAATTGAAAAATCCGTAAACTAACATTTTTAATTTTTTGTTTGATTTTTAATTGTAAAAATAACTGTTAATACAATTACTCAAAATAATTAATAATAGTAAGTCACTTGGATTACAAAAGGCCTCTAGAGGAACTGAACACGTCTCGTCGTAGCGTAGAAAATGAAGTGTTGAAAAGAATAAATTAGCAGGAAATAGGAAAAAAATCGGTTAAATGAGAAAAACTAAAGCATTCAAAAGCAGTAAAAATTAGTTATTGACTTTTTTATTTACTGTAAATAATCTAAAGTTCAACAAAAAACTTTCCATCGGCTTCTTAGTCATGCTCTAATGTAGCTAAGAATTCGCATATACTGTTGATTGGTATCACTAAACTTGTCGGCATTACAACTCAATCCAACTATTTTTGTGTATTATGGTTCGTAACAAATTTTAGTAAAAATAATGTAAAGTGTAATGAAAAATGATGTAGTTAATAATTCGGCAATATGTTATATTATTACCACAGCTTATGCAGAATTCTTATCCATATTTTTCTCTTTTTTTACGTCCTCTGCTATCTGCTACGGAAAAAACGATAATGCTGCAAATACCCATCTAACGTACCTTCCGTTCATAGCAACCTATCTTATGAGAGCGCCATGTAAACACAAAGTTATCACCGCTTGACCATGCCATTACTGACTGTTGTCCCTCAGAAACCAACGGCGATTTGATTTTTTCCGCAAAACCGGCTCGGCTCATTTCTCGTTGCTATACAAAGTTTCCAGTATAGGCTTTTTCAAGGTTATATTAAATAATCGAATATAATGCGTAGTTTTTTAAAAAAAATGAAAATTAAATTCGGAACTAATTATTTGTTACCATATAGATCAAGAATATTTGATTTGGCTTTATATTCGAACACATAAATTATGAAATGTCCTCCTCTCCTAGTCCTCCAAAAGGACGAATATTTATTTAAAACTTTCTTTGCAACAATTTGTCGCTTAGATTTTAGATTTTCAGTAAGGATGGCTGATATACGAAAATGAGTTTGAAATTCTTTTTTCCGTGTAAGCCGGCCATTATTATAGAGTTTATTCGATTATATTTAAATTAAAACCAAGCAAATGCTACTAATATTTAATTTTGCGCATCGTCGTCACTTTGCGAAGCTTAAGAGTGAATGTATCATCGTCACCGTGACCGTAACAACAACTTTGCTTCGCAATGTTTTGCGGATAATTTTTCGAAAATGCTTTCTAGTAAAATTAAGGAATCCGATGTCAATTTGCGTCATACAAAAAATAATAATATCTTCTAATTCTATGCCTTCAACATTCCTAACATCTAATTCATCAACGTGGGCTTCGTGTTATGGCACTCCACTGCCACCACATTCTCATTTAATGAGAATAACTATTTAATTCAATTGTTGATACCATTAAATTTACTTTAGTAAAATTTTTTTAGTATATCTTTCATTTTAAAGTGTGAATATTCTTTCGATTTTAAATCAATTTTTTTTTTTTATTGACAAAAATTCTATCATATGATCACAAATCGGCTGTTTTTTTTACTTGCAAGTTTTTACTGGGTCAAATTTTCCCAGCACGAACTTGAAACTTTCTCTCCAACTAAACGACATAATTGCGCTATTTCGCTACCAATTTTACTGGGTTTAACTGCCCAACTGATCAACGGACACTACTATTGTTGTATTGGATAAGCAAAGCTTTATAAGTTTAGTACAATAGAGCTTAATCCAAACTTTGTCGAATGCTTGTGCCACATAAAGAAATATTGCTTGAACACGAATGCCTTCCTCATTTTATTAGGAGTTTGTTAGAATTTTTTTACAGTACCATGTTTTTCATGGAAACCGAATTCGTATTCTGGTATAATTTTGTTACGGTAGAGAAAAGGAGATATTTTTTAAAGCTTTTATTGGTCTGTAAGAAGACGTTTGTGTGTGGTCTTTTTAGCTGGCTTGGCTATCATTATTATCTGCTTGGTTTTTAAAGCGATTGGAAAATACTTAGTTTAAGAATGACATTAAAGAGTCCAGAGAGCAGTGCTAATGCAACACTTTGCAGCTCTTTTAGTATTTTTGGAATAATAAGGTCATATCCCGGAGTTTTTATCAGGTCCAAGTGCTAAGTCGCAGTTATAAGTTATATTTCAATATTCAACTAAGATTCGAGATAAAAATAACATTACATGATTTAACATTACGGTCTTCTGCTTGATTTTTACCACAATAAGGCACTGTAGCGATATGCTTGTGTACTACGAATTCTTCTACTTCAGTATTTGTTAAGGTTTTTGAGTTCGTAGCAAAACCTTTTCTCTTTGGTAGTTGCAGTCAATACATTTTTCACTGTTTAATATTTGGTTTATGTTAATATGACTACTTATATATTTTTTGTGTTTGAGCCAGTTGTATAGTTAGTCTTAACTCTTAGTAACAGTTCTTGAGACCCTCACTAAGCCTAGATTTTATGTATTTTTAAAGGCAATAAAATGCTATGCTTCTTAGCTCTTTCTCAAAATTATTCAAAGATATAGAGGTATATTGTAGATAATTGGTGGCATATGACGTAAGGGGCAGGTTTTCAGGTGGTTTCTTAAAGTCACCAACCGCTTTACTATCGTGGTAGTTTGGGGTATATAATATAAACCCTGAAATATAAAAATTATATTTAACTGTCAGATGCGTTTCAGGCAGGACCAATGCATCTATACCATAATCTGTTAGAAGTCATATTAATTCCAAGTTGTGTTGTTTGACACCATTCGCATCCCAAAAAAAAAAAAAAAAAAAAAATACTAAGTGCGATCATTTTTTATTTCTAAACATTTCTAATATATTGTTCTGAGCTTTGATTCAATTTTGAATCAGATTTTGCATGGACGTCGTGAATTTTGTCATGTGTAGGGTTTAAAATCATTGATTCAATAACTCCATCAGACTGATCCTGCGGGATTAGTTCTGAATTGTTCCTTAAACGTTCGCACATGACAATTGTTATCATTGGTATCGAGGTTGTGCGCTGGGCTTAGGACCCGCCAAGTAAAAATCAGCTCCAGAGAAAATTTAGGCAATTCCTAATGAGTTCCTTAACGAATTACGTTAAGCACTGCCAATCACTTAATGAGAGGTGTTGTCAAATGCTCCTTCGGTATCTATGCGAGAGCATATTGTAACTTCTTCGTTATCAATCATATTTCTTTGCGTTTCTGATAATGTAAATAGAGCTTTATTGGCCATAGTTTAGAGGTAGATTCATTATAAGAGTAGCTCCTTTTATATGGTTTCAATCATCTTTTCCATGTCTTTTAACTTAAGGGATATTAAACTCATTGACCAGAAATGTTTGGCTGTTGTTTAGTCCTTTTTGACTGCCTTGGAGATAAACCTTTATGGGTTTATTCTTCTTTTCTTGGCTATGCATGCTAATGTGAGATTTTCTTTTACAATATTCACCAGCACGTATGTTAGTTGTTGTAAGAGTGCTGGCTATATGCAATCTATTTCTGGTGGTTTAAATTTCTCAAAGGAGTTTAATTCCCCTTTAACCGATCTCATTTCTTTTCATTCTATGTATGTTCATTGTCTTTTTTTAATGCCATTTAGTTCTTAATGTAATCTAGCTGCATCCGGTATTGATGATATATTCCGCTTTAGAAGCTTGACCGTTTTAGTTTCCTTAGCTTTTTATTGTGTCTGGTCAGAGTGCACTTGTACTCCTCCCAGTTACAAAATCTTTTCGCCTTAATGATTTCTTATCTTAGTGCTGATAGTTACGTGTTTCACAATGGAGTACTTCTTCTTGTTTTGGCTTTTTTTGGCCTGCAGCTTGAGTTATATTCTTTATTTATGATATTATTTAAGTTGTCTACTTTCTGTTCCGGTTTTGCTAGTTTTTTGCTTTAATAGTTAGTTTCTCTCTGTTAAGGCTTAGATCTTTCAGCTTCTTATAGATTGTCCAGTCCATTTTCCTTGAAGAATTCTATAATTCTGTGATCTGACCACTCATCGGTGGATCGTGACCTATTTTTTCCAATTTTAATATCTAATATTCCTTCCCATTTTTAGTTATGTACGTTGGTCTGAATACCATATTGTAGGTCATTTCTCTTTACGAATTCTATTAGGCATTCGTCTTTAGTGTTGTTGTTGCTGGGGCTAACTCATATAATGCTGTGCGTATTTGTATCGCATCCTTTTGCAAAATGAAGACGTTCCTTCTGGCAATGTTTTATCAGCCGTTTTAATAATTTATTATAATTTCTGCCTTCCTTTCTTCTTTCTCAGTTTTTCTTTTTTTAACGACATTTGGATTTATTTATTAAATTTGCCATTGGGAGCCTCACAATAAGTAATAAAATCTTAAAGACTAAATTAAAACTAAATATGACAGCCCAATAGCTAAGAGTGGGCTCCTGGATCGGCATTGCTCTTTGCAAGAATTTTTGCCGAGGCCAAGGTTTTACCTAAAGGGTTCGGTTAACTGTGCACTTTTGCTTTGTATTTTTGTGATACGCTTTGAATAAATGGAAGGCACATACAAATTTTGTGGACTTATCCGATCCTGACCTCAATAGGTTCATTGCTCCTGCGCAGGACAGTGAAGGATTCTAGTTTGTGTGCTATATTGCCGAAGTGGCATGCTATAGATTGATCTGAACTATCTTGATGTTTGACGTAATTTGTCTCCGCCTTCTAGAAAACGTAGGAGGTATATGTACCCTCAAGCCTGCCTAACTGATCTCTTCCCTTCTTAGAGGATTTCAGGCTGGTTGATATATTTTTGCGTTATAAGGAAGCGAGGCGATTGGGTCTGGTAGTGAACGAGGACAAGAAGAAATATCTCCTGTCATCAAACAAACAGTCGTCGCATTCGCGACTTGGCTCCCATGTCACTGTTGACAGTCATAACATTGAAGTCGTAGATAATTTCGTCTATCTAGGAATCAGCATTCACACCAATAATAACATCAGCCTTGAAATCCAGCGCAGAATCACTTTTGCCAACAGGTGCTACTTTAGACTGAGTAGGCAACTAAAAAGTAAAGTCCTCTCCCGACGAACGGAAATCAAACTCTACTAGTTCCTCATCGTTCCAGTCCTGCAATGCAGAAGCATGGGCGATGAAAACATCTGATAAGACGGCGTTAGGAGTTTCCGAGAGAAAGGTTTTGCGTAAGATTTATGGGCCTTTGCGCGTTGGCAACATAAGTAAGTAAAGTAAGTATTCTTGCATGACAGTATGAATATGAGGTGCATATCCTTAATGTGAATTGATTAAAATTTCGAAATAAATCTGTTATATTGGTTTGTTTCAAAGTATTTTGCTGCTACTTGGACTGCTCAATAACTTTTTTAAGAGTAAAAGTGCCTGAAATGCTTTTCACCACTTCCTTTTGTTTATTGAAGCTTTTTAAGTTGTCGAATGAGGCTTTTGCTTCCTTAACTTTAGCATCAACGTCTTCATCCATTGGAACAATGCCAGAAAACTCAAACCGCTGATGTCAACTAGTGGTTCATTCGTCATCATCCATTGGAAGATTTTCCTAATCATATTTTATGAAACCGGATTTTTGAAGCAGTTAAGAATCATTAGGTTTGTTACATGTCTCCATGCCTTACCAATTTATGTAATAGCCCGTTCGCAGTTACCCATTATATATACATTTTTTATGGATGAACGGATCCCTTTGCTAATTCATAATTTTTAGATGTTCTAAGTAAAAGATTTCCATAGTGGACTGTTGTGGACAGTGCAATTGTCTGAAAAGAGTAAAAAATTTTGCTTTTATGGTTTTATGTGTTCATTAACTGTAAAAAGTCAATTGCTAAATAATCTTGTCGTCATCTAAGCTTTTCACACCTTTGAAACTTTGCGATTTCTTTGCTTTTTGCTTAAAGGCTTAAGTTTTTCTGAGCGATTCATATTTACTGCAAGTAAAACTGACAATCTCATTATCAGTGTTTTTCCCTATGGCATTTCTCATCCTTTAAAGTTAAGCATCTCTTCTCTAAAGCGAATTGCCCAAGTATCTTATTATTTAGAATTGACGAGTGTTTATTGGCGTTTAGTTCGAATAAACGCGTCGGTTTGTTACATAGACATGTTTTTTATGCTTTATTTATTCGAATTAGCAAGTGCGTAAAAGTACATTGATTTAGCTAGGAATATTAAAAGATTTTTTCGGGAACTATAGATGACTTTGAATTATAGAGAAATGACGTAGCAATTTCGTTCATACAATGCATTGTTTTTATAAATGATATTTACTAATATTGAAATATAGAATTGGAATTTAGTTTAAAATTAATCAAACCAATCTCCATTGAGCTTTTATTTACACTTAAATTAGGAATCTATAATGAAAATGATAAATTGCTACATTGTACAATTGAATCTGATAAACAATAAACAAATGCTTGATTTACAAAATTTTGACAAGAAAAAGATAATAATAAAGGCGTTTTAATAAATTGAAAGATCATTCTTAAAAACAGAGTTTTGTAAAGTTGAACATCGTATATGAACGAGAAAAGATGATAACATTAGAATGCAGTGCTTTAAATCATTATTTTCCTATACAATTCGTGGCCATGAGAATTTTGGACTTTGCTAAAATCTTCAGGGCACGAATTTAAGATATGTATTTCATCAACTTATTTTACGCAACATTCCCAGGTGGGCAGAGTACAAAATTCAAACTCATATCTGTTGGAGGTCCAAGATTTCCCACAACGGCGATATTACGTATATTTTATATAAAACAACGAAAAAAGAAAGTAGTGAAAGAAGGAAACAATGCATAAACTGTACAAAACCAAGGATTCATATGCAATAGTCCAACCAAATTGTTTGTAAATACCTTTCTGGCTATTTTTTTTTTAAACGTATTCGATAAAAACTCAGTAAATTTCTCTCTTTAGGAGAGTAGGACATCTTACTTTCGTTTTTACTGAAATTTCCCACCGGCGAAGGGTATAAGTTGATTCAAATAGAATAATTTAACGTTAAATACAAAAGCAACTTAAAACAAGCAGTGAAAATATAATCATTAAATATAAGGTTGTCAAATATCTCCCTTCCGCTTTTTTGTCCTTTGAATTTCGCGGCTATGTACAAAGCGCTACAGAGCTCGTATCTGGCAACACTAAACATAATTTGAAAGGTCTTGACATAACCTACAAAACATCGCTATGCATGATTAGTTTGGATATTGCGTTCAACAGTTATAGACGTGTGAACATGGAGTTCACTAACACCGAAATTCGCGCTATTTTAAAGTTTTCCTTCGTTAAAGGCAAATCCGCTAGAGAAACGTTCCGTGAGATTAATGGTGTTTTGGGGGATGGTACTCTATCACTTCGAACCGCGGAGGAATGGTTTCGACGATTCAGAGCCGGTGAAAACGACACCATGGATAAGCCAGCCGGCGGAAGACCTGTGACGACAAATACCGATCAAATCATGGAATACATCGAGTTAGACCGGCATATGGCATCTCGTGACATCGCCCAGGAGATGGGAGTTAGTCACCAAACCATTTTGAACCATCTGCAGAAGGCTGGATACAAAAAAAAGTTTGATGTTTGGGTGCCGCATAATTTGACGCAAAAAAACCTTCTGGACCGAATCAACGCCTGCGATATGCTGCTGAAACGGAACGAACTCGACCCATTCTTGAAGCGGATGGTGACTGGCGACGAAAAATGGATCACATACGACAATATCAAGCGAAAACGGTCGTGGTCGAAGGCCGGTGAATCGTCCCAAACAGTGGCCAAGCCGGGATTGACGGCCAGGAAGGTTTTGCTGTGTGTTTGGTGGGATTGGAAGGGAATCATCCACTATGAGCTGCTCCCATATGGCCAGACGCTTAATTCTACCATCTACTGCGAACAACTGGACCGCTTGAAGCAGGCGATCGACCAGAAGCGTCCAGAATTGGCCAACAGGAAGGGTGTAGTGTTCCACCAGGACAACGCCAGACCACACACTTCGTTGATGACTCGTCAGAAGCTACGGGAGCTCGGATGGGAGGTTTTATCGCATCCACCATATAGCCCGGACGTAGCGCCAAGTGATTACCACCTGTTCCTGTCCATGGCGAATGCCCTTGGTGGTGTGAAGTTGAACTCAAAAGAGGCTTGTGAAAAGTGGCTGTCCGAATTCTTCGCAAATAAGGAGGGGGGCTTCTACGAGGAAGGTATTATGAAGTTGCCGTCTAGATGGAAACAGATCATCGAACAAAACGGCGCATATTTTAACTAAATCCGATCACTGTAACACTTTTTATAAAGCATTGAATGAAGAGCAAAAAAGCGGATATTTGACAACCTTTATAAGTAGCAATGTCCGAGCTCTGGTTCGAAATTGACTTTAAAATGAAGTTTTGATAAAACTGACATGAAACAGTAATCGATCGAAACTCGCTTCCAGCTCTCCATTTACTAATCAATTTTTGTTACGTGAAACTTGGAAAAATTCCTTTAATGTTCGTGATTTTTTTTTGTTACGATTAAGTTATGAGTTTGAAATTAGATTGTCAATTTTCGACGGTCAACGAAAATCGGAAATAGAAAACATACATTTCAATTTATTTAATTTATTTTCGTGTCATGTAATCGGAAAATCGAGCGGGAAAAAAAATTAACTGTGGCTATAGGTTGGGAAAAATGTAGAACACGAAACGTCACAGGTGTTCATGATAACTTTGGGGAAAGTGGAGCTTATAACTACAACCTTTAGTTCTCTCAGTTATTATTTTAATTATAGAATAACAACCGTTCTAGAAATTTTGAACGTAAGAACATTATTAAACAAACTCGATTTGCTTTATTTTGAAGCTTTTATTTTAACTTACGTCTAATCACAAAATACTTAACACAAAGGACTTACATTACAATGAATTTATTATTTATTTTACAAATGAATTTTCTATATCAACTAGGCATATAAATTTAAATTTATCAATTACAATATGACATAACCAAAGATTTACATCTTCAGAGAATCATTAATCTATTTTTATAATTTCAATATTAAAGTTGTGGCTCGTTCATATTTACCTTTAAGTGAGTACATGCATACAGTTTTTAAATATATTGTACAATATTTAAATTAAAGATAATACTTAGCTATTGCATAGAAAATGTGTCAGCTTATACAATTATCCAAAATCAACACCGGTATTGACTCCGTAAAAGCCGTAGTACATACATTTTCTATGGAATACTTGTTTTGAAAAGGATAAAATCTTCAAAAGCCTCATTAACTAACACATATTGTGCACAAATATATATTTTAATGAAACTCTTCAAGCATCCTTAAGTCTGCACTTGTCCCATTGAATCCGATTGAATCCCATTGAATTCACTGGGACAAATATAGCGTTGGTCGACCATGTAAATATCTACATAAATAAGTATACGTATATATATACACATATAATATATATATATGCATATACATAGGTATATAGGTATGTATATATATACAATGAGAGTTAATCTAGATCTATGTATATTGAATGAAAAAAAAAAAAATTAGGCCATATTATAACAAATTATTGTAAAAAATTATGCTTAATATGAGGACAGAAATACAGTTTTAAAAACAACACAAGTTAAAAGTACGAATTAAAACTTTACAGAAAACAAGGTAGCCGTTAGAATACTTCTTCCTCTGGCGAATTAAAAGTGAGAAGTGACTTTAATATTCTAATTGGGACTCTATTAATTGTAAAACGCGTTGGCGGCCAATTTTGTTCCAAAACACATAGGGCTCTGATGTACCTGATACCATTCGCGGCTCGCTGTGGAATAAAGTAGTTGTGAATTCAGTATAACACTTCATTTTGAGAATATGCAATTAGATATTTACTTTTGAAAACAATCAAATAATATTTGACCTTTTTCATTTACCAAGCAAGCCCATATATCCATTACAACCAGGAATTTACCCTCGTTTTTAATGAAATGGTTGAAACGTTCCAACTTGGTCTTAACTTGCTTGTCGTGTGCATAATTTGCCAGAGGGGCTAGTGTCGTTAGAATGGGAGTAAATCCTTTTTTAAAGATTACGTTAATTAGTTCACGAAAATCATGTTCTATTTGTACTAATGACCGCCCCTTCATTATGTCCACAGATCCGATGTTGACAATAATACTCCGGTGTTGATCATCCAATTGGTGTACTCTTCTGATTGCAGCACAAATTGTTTGTCCAGATACACACAATCCACTCTGCAATACTTTGCCATCTGCAATGTATCACAATAAAAAATAATATATAACTTTTATTCAGAATTATATAACCAGAAAATGGCAGATACTAAAAATTTCAATAATTGATGTTCTAAGCCCAAAGCTAAATATTAAAATAATAAATAACGATTGTACCAATACAAATTTATTAAGGAAAATAAAGCAATGATGCCATATGGACTGAAACCTAACTGCCCAACATTATGTTCCGAAATGTGGAATGGGATTCTGATTAAGTGTATACTATTGCAATGGAATTTTAGTTTTACGACATGAATTTTCTAACTTAAAATTTATCTATGTTGTTTGGGATGTACATACGTCGCCACTGAAAAGAATATTAAACTTAACTTATTCGTCAATACACCTCAAACTTACATTTTTTGAATTTACACCGAAGTTCCATGCGTGCTAAAAAGAGGAAAAAATCATCACCCAACAAAGGAAAGTCCAAAAGATGAGCTTCGTAGTCAGAATCTGAGGTATATATTGAATTGTTATCCCGACTACTTCTCGTACATGAGGGTGAAGAAGCTCGATTTGTGTTTGGACCACTTGACTTCAATATCGGATGATTGAATGTAGGAAATTGCTTTTCAAGCTTATTTGTGTTACAATAGTTCTGCTGTTGATTTGATCTGGTTTGTGTTGGATAAATTATGGACTTCGCTTGATTAGGTTGATATTTTGACACTCCATTATTCAAGTTCGATTGTGAACTGCCAATGATGTTATTTCCAAAATTTTGTGCCACCGCTTTTGATTGATTGTATAGTCTATTGAAGCTAGACGAAAAATTTAAAAGTTTTTATTTAGTTAGTAACTTTTTGAATTAATATCATTGGCCAAAATTTTACTAAATAATTAATATAAAATATTTAATAACAAACAAGTTTTCCTCGTTGATTCAAAAATTTTTTTATAATAATGAAATCAGCACGATAGGGAAGAATATACTTACAGATGATTGCAGTTATCCTGGTAGTAATTACTGTTGTTTGCTTCTGCAACATAATTTCCGAATATTTTATTTCCGCTGATAGGTTGTATCTTTGATTTGTCTATATTCGGATTTGCTTGTACAACATTAATGTTTATTGGTAACTGTTCTTTGTTGTTGTCAATATTATTCTTATCTATAAATTTTAAATTACTTTGATAATCATTTTGTTTGTTATTGTGATACCAAGATTGATCATAACCAGTTGTACCCTTTGAAATGTTATTGAGACGAGGTTCCACTCCTCTTTGTCGGTTGTACTGAACATCTTGCTGTTTATGAGTCTGATGTTGTTGCTGTTGAGGTTGATGTTGTTGGGGTTGATATTGTTGCGGCTTTTGTTGTTGAACCATATCGAAGATGTGTTTTGTTCTATCCGTGGGGCGGACATTGAAAATGAGTTTACCATCTTCATTACAAAATGCTGTTACCAACGGGATGGAGAGTAAAAATTCGGTGATGCTTTGAAAAATTGGAAACACGTTCCCCGTATTTTTTCGGTAATCGTCTACGAAAATAAAAACATTACAATCGGTATGTACTTGTACATACATATGTATGTATAATTGAAAAAATTGATTTTTCAGAAGTTTTAGAGTCTCCGTGTGGAATCATTACCAGGTATGATCAGAACCTAATTCCTTCGGCAGTCTTATTCCGGTAATAAGTTTTAAGGTAGTAAAAAGGTGTAACAACTGACAAAGAGGAAAATTCATGCTACTTTAAACTCATTATCATATGTTACATTTACAAAAACTCTCATTTCAAATGGAATTTTAGTAGTTTAGTTAATATTGTGCAGAATAAAGAAGATGATATTATTATGTATAATAATATTTATGTTCTAATATAATTTTTTTGTTCATTTCAATTACAATTAGAGCTGGTGTTGCTAATTTGAGAAGACCAGCTGAGAGAAACCAAATCAAAATAACTAGGTTTTACTTCCCATAAATTGAATCGAAAATAACGTTGCTTATATTTGCAATTGAAATAGAAAAGTTTTAGGTCGATACAAATGACAAAAAAAAAAAACAGCAAGCTTTTTCTGGTGAGCCGTGGAAAGACATACGCCATGCTTCCAATTAGACTGCGGATTTTGTCAAAATTACGTATTGAATTTGCGATCGATCACACCTTTTCTGACTTCGCCATAATAGTGTCTTGAAAAACAATTTTTAATGACTTTTGATTTTTTCCACAGCTTGACGGCTTAAATATTTGCTTCAACTGGAGCAGTAGACCAAAAATGTTAATTCTATTCTTCAAAAATTGTTTAATGCTTAAATTTGTATGTTTGTGTATATAAAAGAGGAGAAAAGCAACTCGAAATATCGAAAAAAACTCGAAATGCCGGCTCGTAAATTTTTCGTTTCAAAATGCTCGAGAGGAATGAAGTAATGAATAAATCTTGGCTATATACCATTAAACAATATCTATATGGCTATAGATAAATGCGTTTTCCTCCACTTAAAATTAGGTACCTTTGATATCGGAAATTGTTGCTCCTTCCTGCGAACGGGCCATTAGTATGCTGCGGATCACTACATCCAAATCGGGATATTCATTTCGCAATTCTAAAAAAGCTTCACTCATGATTGTCATAATAGTTGGATGGTATTTAGAGTCGCTGTCGTAAGTTTCGCAATCGGCCGTCGATGCGGCAATTGTTATCATAGTAGAAGACAAAATTTTGATTAAAATTAGTAAATATGTAGTACTGCTGTCGGTTTGTCAATCTTTACGTTTAAAAAATGCGCAAGGCCTATGTTTGACTTTAAATAGATGTTAATTAAAAGGAACACTCCCAATAGATGTATAAAAATACACTGTATGAAACACGTGGTAAAGCCCGTTTTTTGAAATGAATGGCCGCAACTTCTCGAAATAATTTTACTCAAGTTGCATTAGAGAGAATACTTCATTTTATTTGTTCAATTTGAATTGTATGTATTTTTAATATGAATTGACTCCTTGGAGAGATCCAACGGTTATTTATGCTCACTATATGAATAAACAACATGGGAGGAAAAGATTTACAACTTGTATAATTACTTACATACTAGTAATTATGTATGAATATATATACATTAATGCATATGTATTTAGCTCTCTTTTTCTAATATTGTGGCAGCGGCGAAAAATTACTACAGATATTTATGTGGATGTGTGGATGAGCTTTCATGGACAAGAGCTTCTACGGAAACTAAAAAACCCCTTGTATCGATGCTGTCAGCCATAGCAATTTTTATTTAGATTAGGATATTCTTCAAATTAGCTGTACGTCAAACTCCAAAACTAATTTCTGCAACTTAGTTTGCTATAATTGCAAAAAGAAAAATAGCTGAAAATGAATTGCCGATTGCTTGTGCTGCACTATCAGTTTTTTTTCTATTTGAAATTTTTGATAACTTCTTGCAAAATAAACTAATTTGCAGGCATTTTAAATGATTTACAAATTCTTTTAATTAATTTCATTAGTGCTTTGTAACCGCTGAAACTTTTTTCGGCTGATTTGTGGTATGCATCTTTATGATTTCGAAAAAAATGGAGGAACCCATAGTTTATTTTAAGCCGCCTCCGAATGGCTGATGGATTTTTATGAGGAGCTTTAATTTCATGTCAGAAACACACTCCGGCTTTTAGGGTCGACCGCATTTAGAAAAGCCAATAACAAAATTAAGAGAGCAAAATATTATACTCTCCAAAAGAGAGAAAGGTAATGAGTTTTGCGAGAACAGTTGTTAATTTTAGCATATATGTATATACTTACATTTGAAGCCGCTCATTTACACAGTTTTTTTTATTGTTTTCAACAATCCTGTATGTTAATTATACCGTGGTAATACTAGTATATCAATCTCCCTTTTTAGTCTTCTGTGCGGTCAAAGATGACCGTCAAAGTAGCTTTCCAATAATTTGTTTCTTATTTTGGATCCTCAAAAAGGATTATTGAAATACGAAATTGCTTACTATATTAGTCGACTGAACTAGAACACGTTTATGTATGATATGTATGTAAATTCAGAGCATTATTACCGACTTATACAGAGCATGCGGGTCTGCGACCGATGATTAAACTCTACCTCTACCACGTTTTTTTAACGCTTCTCTGTGATAAATAATTTGAATCGTTGGAATTGAATAATAAAAAAAACTTAAGTAATTCATTTATCTAATATACAAATAACATTCTCGTGACACAGTGTTAGACACGATACTCCTCCGAAACGGCTTGACCGATTTGAATGAAATTTAATGTGCATATTCAGTAGATCTGAGAATAACATAACATCTATTTTTCACACCCTAAATATCTTTCTAATTTTTTTTTTTTTTTTTGATTTGATGTTATGGTAATTTCTTTTTTTATTTCTTTATGATGTGACATTATGCATATGTGTTCATAAAACCCTAAATTTTCACCATTCTATCACCAACCCCTTTTTTCCAACCAAAAAAAATTGTTTCCTAGTTTTTGTACAAAATTTTTTTTAGCCAAGTATCGATCGTGTGTAAGTATGCTCGCTGCGCAATGTTGTTATTCTGCGGCTACGGGTTTCAAGCTATTCTTATACGTTCAAGCATAGATCCGATTGCCATTTACGTGACGGTATTATATGATGCTTGAAAAGCTTTTTTTTATTCTTTGCAATATCAATGAGAATAAAAATTCTACAAAATACAGAAAGCCACAAGAGCTTATGGGCGGGTCTGTACATGTGTAACTGACACTTTATAACGTCCGAGGTGAATTTCGGCTTAGTTCCAATTTATGGTGTGCATCTTGACTTCGCCCTTATAAAATGTTAATTATATATGTATGTACGTGTATATTATATATTTATTTCGTGTCAGAAATACATTCGGAAGGATTTCCATTCCCTCTCATGGGCGACCAATTAGGAAGATAAAATTTCTAAAATTTTCGACGTTGGCATGGTCAGTGATCAAACTCGTGATTTATTAAAGTATTAATTTTATATACAAATTATTTTAATTTATAGTAATATTCACAAAGGAATGTGGACAAAAATACAAAAATATGAATTTTTGAAGTTTTCCCAGCACAAATTCGCAACTTTACCCTCAAACTATATTTACGAATACACTTGACAAAGTTGGGCTCTCTCTTTGCAAATTTTATTGGGTTTGTGACTGGCTGAGTAATTCTTTTAGTTGTATTGTATTGTTGTTTCTCTCTCAAAAGTCTTCTATGTAATGTTAATACGAGTTTCTGGAAGTAACTCGAACGCAACCATTTTAATCTACACTTATTCACAATACAGTTTAGCTAAGATTACTTAAGTAAAACAACAACATATTTATGATGAAGCAACGACGTCATAAAATAAATTGAGAGCACAATTTTCCCTTGATAATGGTGTTCAACCCCAATTTGAGAGGTGTAATATTTTTAACTTTAAATTATTATTTTATTAAGTTAAGTTGGTTTTAGCTTGGTTTCGAATAGGGAAAGTCTATTTTTTAAACTAATACCAACTGGTTTTCGCGCTAAAACTTGTGTTTGTATTGAAAAATCTATCAAATGCAAACATTTTAAAAAGCAGTGTGCTCTGAAAACCACTTGAAAACTCCAGCTCCACTCAATTGGTACCTACACTACATTTTTCAATATTTATCGCAGTGGAGGGCATATTTAGTAATTTCAAAGAACATATTCACTGTCAAAGAATGTCAGTGAGTTATGGTAACTTAAATTTCGTTAACGATTATTATGAGGTGCCGCACCTGGAACAAGAGAATCCATGGTCTTTAGTTTTACTTGTAGTAAACCACCTACTTTGCACATGTCCCACGCGCATTGTCATAAAATTGAATAGAACATTTTTGAGTATATACCCTGAGATTTAGTAGTCCCAAGTCGATACTATTGCCTCTAAAGTAACAATTTGAGACTAGTGGTTATTCATTAAAAAGGGTATAAAATTTGAAATCAGATTCTTAGCAGGTCACAATTTAAGAATTAACTCGTACACAAATTGTACGTTTACATATTAATTTTCATGTAAAATTGTTAAAAAATTGAAAGGAAACAAAAAGGAGACATATTTTTGAATATACACAATACTTTTTCAAGTCCTTACCAACACAAAAATATTTAGTTTTAAAAATGATAAATAAATGTTTCAACCGAAGTATTATTACCTATTTATTTGGTATTGATTTCAATTTTCAATATTTTTTAAACGATTGATTCAGGTAAAGCCCAAATATAAGCTCTTTGTTAATGTTTATTATAAAAAGCTTATTATGTTCATTTCAATGAACAATTATTGTTTTAATTTATCTTTGAGCAAATTCTGTAATGGTTTGCGAAATCGTGTGCAGTGTCAAAAATAACCGGATAAACGTATTAGTATAATATATATAATAATCTATATAATTACGTATTTTAATTTTAATAATAATGTATACATATATATATGTATGTTTTGCTTTTTTCTCTTTTTAAGTACAAAATATTTGGGATAATTTTCAAAATTAATGTATTCTTATAAGCTTTGATAAGAAATTACAAATAAAATTTAGATTTTTTTTTGGAAAATTAAATTTTTTGCTTTGTTGAGTGCTTAAAAACAAAAATACCAATTGAAATATTTGCTTCATAATTTTTACCTCCATTTCAACTTATCTCCGAAGTTTTCGTTTCTCTGTTTATATTGTATCTTAGTTATTACGGCAATTCAGCTGGATCCCTGTAAATGTTCTGCCAATATGAGTACGAAATCGTTTTATGCCAATCCTTTATCGGGTTGCGTCTTCGCCCTACTAATGGTCCTTGCTCTGCTAGCGCACACTAACATTCTCTGGATTTATGTATCTAAACCTTCGTATGAAAATTTAACCAAATAATGAATAATCATTCTATAATTGTTTGGCGGCCAGTACTATTCATTTTTGTTATAAGTTTTTAGTGAGCTAAAAGACAAAGTTGGTTTATACAAATTAAATATTTTTGTTATACACCAAACGAAAAAGGTAGAAGTGACAGCTGCTTCGGATATCACCATATCTCTTCATCAGACTTCTTATGGATCATTTAGCTATATTTATGATCTATCCACTTTGAGGCTTTGAAAACAAACGTAAATTCAAGTGAATTTAAAATAATTTTTTTCAAGGAGTTCCTTTTTTAGTAGAAAGTTTGAATCTTGGCATTATATGTCTGTAAAAAGGCTATATCTTTCAAATCACCGCCTCGCGATCCTTGCAAACTTCGATCTGTTTGGAACAGAGACGCTCAACTAACGAGACAACATTTCGTTTTGTCAATAGAAAAAATTAACTTACCGAAATGATTTTGTTATTTCATTTTATCAAAACAAAATGAAATTTTTAGTGTTTAAAACGCACAAGCTCATCGTCTGCGAATGGCGTTTTCTTAAAATGCCGGCCAAAAATGTTGATTATCATACGACTATAACGCTCCAAATCGACAGTGACAGTCTCGCCATTGTGGTTTTCAAAGAAGCAAAGTCCAACACTCCCTACGAACGAAAGAGTGCACCATGAGTAAAAGCCCAAAATGTGGCAATTTTTCTTATTTACGTATCCCCTTAGTGAGAAAAATCGCCGTCTACTACTTGTTGTTCAAGCATCCGATCGTCGTATGTATGGCGTTGTGAATGATCAGTTTGCCTCAGTTGTTGTGTGAGACGTACATGTAATTTCAAGTCCTGAAAATGCTGTAATGTGCTTTTGAGAACGCCGAGAAATGGTCACACTCGGGTCTCCGACTACAATTTCTCTCACATTAGCAATATTTGAGGTGGAACGACCAAAACAATGACGCGCAGGTCTTACAATAACTGTAACAGATTCTTTCTCTTCAAATTGCTTTCAAGTTTTACCAATTGTTTGAGTCTCCTGTTAAATCCAGAATCTTAAGTTTAGTATTAGGTTTTAATAATTTAAGTGAAACAAAATATGTTTGGTTTGTCAATTAAGTTTAACAGATGTAAAATAGAGCCCTGTACTTTTAAGACCACGAGGTGGATAACCCTATACTTCATTTTGACCATTATTAACTGCTTAAGGCAAATCGCATACTTGAAAGTGACTTTCAGATGTTAGATAGAAATATGGCTTGGTTGTCGTTTTATGGCAGCCAATGAGACAAAAGTATGACACAGGCGTAGGAGCCACTTCGTCGTAGAACAACTACCGATTAGTTCTTGAGGCAAAAATTATTAAATTGATGTTTATATTTGTATTTGGACAAGCTTTCTTCGTTTTCTTGTGAATTTTCAGCATTCAACTCTATTAACTCTCTCCTATTACTCTAGACATCTATGAATTTGAATGAGGCCTGAATAAAAAAAAACTCCTCCATTAGTTGACCGCTGAAATTTGCGGTACAATATGGGGTACATTCCTCGATTTTATTCTTATCTTATGCAAATAAATTACGTTTAAATAAAATTGTTGACAAAGTAGTAAAGTAATCGACAATTTATAATTATATATATATAATTGGCGCTTTGTAGCCGCTGAAGCGATTCTCGGCCAAACTCCTCCTCCAATTTGTGGTTTTGAGTCTTGATGTTTTTTTCCAACAGCTTATACTTAGCTGTCTCATTTCATTTCATTCAATTTATAATTATCATCGCACCATGATACAAAAAGGAAGGCAGTTTTTGAGAGATTTATTGAATATTTTGCAAAAATTGAATTGCGGATTATTTTTTGGTGCCAGTTTGATTTATTAAAAAATACAATTACAAAATTACAATTTCTAAAATGAAAAAAATAATATAAAAAATGCAAAAATAAATATATTGAATCCATAATTTTAAAATTTCAGGCTGCTCAACATTTTTTATGATATATATGGATGTGTATATTAAATATTGTCCTTTACTTTATTTTAAAGTGTCAATTCATATTGAGTGAAAGTACACATTTTTTTATAATGGAGTAATTATTATGTATTTGGTTGTTCACGTAAAATAATATATAAAAAATTAATTAAAAATATATTTAAAAGCGTCACCATTAAACTTTCACGATTGTTTTGGTTATTTATGCCGAAATCTGTTACAAAGTATTAAAAAAACTATACAAATTGCGCCCTTATTGAAATTAAAAACATAAAATAAAACGAATCATCACTCAGATTTTGTAAAAAAAAAAAAGAAAAAGCAGATCTTATCGTTTTTTTTTAATCTAAGAATAAATAAAAAAATTCTTACTAAATAAAATAACTGCATAAATATTGTATATTTATGTATATAACCATCAAAACTCAAAACCGCAATTAAAATTATTATGTTCCAACACTGTGCAGTAGTGTGGTGAGTTAATTGATTTTATTTCAAGCTGAAGTTCCATAGCTAGCGTTACGCGCTTCGTGCATCACTTAAATATACGCGATAGATTTGGTATGACGCGGTACAGACCGAGCACAAGTTACCGCACGTTGTAAGCAGATTTTTGGATAGCATGGATGAAAATAGCCTAGTGGTAAGTATTGCGCTCTGTCATTAGGTAGGATGCCAGGGTTCAAGTTCGAACAAAAATTAAGTTAATTAAAATTATATAGAATTAATTTTTTCTAGCGGTAGTCGCCCTTCGGCAGGAAATGTCGCAGCCTCCGACAGTATAACTGACGACACGCACCTGACGACACGCACCTGACGACACAAACCTCTTCATAAAAATCCATCGTTCAGAGACGGCTTAAAATAGACAGTAAGTTCCTTTGAGAGAGAGCTCTACCGAAAATCACTTCAGCGGTTACCAAACGCCAATTAAATATATTATTATTACTTATTATCGAAATGTGCATTTGTTTATATATCAAATAGAAAACATGGTTTTGCCATACTGCTTGTTTGAGTGCCTTCGCGGATAACGCTCGCCGCATAGTGTAGGAGGTTTATATCGCAGCAGTAGTACCAAGCCAACTTATGTGATGCTTTATAGTAACATTTGATTGTGGACATTCAAATAATAGAAACAACAAAATAATATTCATAAATGCTTATTTTACTATAAGTAAATAAGTAATTTCCTACGTAATGAGACATTTGAATGAGTTTAATTTTTGAGCCTCTACAGATAATCACTTATCCATTTAAGAGGTGTAATGTGTGTATGTAGATTAAGCTCCACTAAAAATAGCTCTGTTCCGGGAGAAATGTCAGTAAGAATCAGCCAATACCAAAATGCCAGAATTGTGCTCTCTCGGTGCCAGTAGATTTGCCCTACCGAATTCGGTTCAGTATGATTTAGTAACAATTGTAACTGCCCATCTGCTCAACGAACGAATCTGATGTATTTGTATATACATTAATTCACCACATCTGTCGATGCACAAGTCAGGTAACTACACAAATATAACGTACCAATACATACAGATGTAAGTAATTGCATATGCCTAGCTATGTTATTTCCACAGTAACACAAAAAAAAATTATGCATTTTCAAAGGCACATTTATGTACAAAATACACACTTACATATGTATATATGTAAATAAATACGTGCTGATGAGAATATGCACTCATCTGGGTTTGCCACTTTGTTCGTCTCTCTTCATATTGTTTGTGCTCATAATGTTTTAATTCTCTACCTTTGTAATTACAATTCAGTTGTTGTGTTTCGACGTTTGCTGTGCATTGCTTTTGCTGTTTCATTGCCAACTCAATGGAAGCCGGTTTGGATCATAAGGCAAGCAGGAGATTTTGGTGGTATGGTTAGTGTGGTCCACAAGTTTCTCGAGAACACAACTAATACGTTTGAGCGCTTGAGTTATTGTAAAATACAATTCCGTACATATATACATAGATATATACTTTTAAATGTGGTATGAATTATAAAAACAAGCTTTTTGTTGTTTAAAAAAATTTTGTTACATACACAATTTTTTATACAGTGGTGAAACAGTATTTTTGATTGAACGTAGTAGCTACGACGCATATATGTAATCATAACATACATTCATTCACAAGTACTATCTATGTTTGTATGGTTAAAGAAGAAAAATTATATATGATTTGTACTATATACATAAGTATGTATTTGTTTTGTGCAGCTGTATGTTAGGTTCACCATTTTTGTGATTTGAAACGCAGTGTTTATTACAATATGTCTCGTGAAGAGGAAGAAGAGGAAGTACGTTCGTTGCTTTTGCGGCACAAAGAACGTATAGTGCTCGATTTGTGTGAAACTGACCTGTTGGCGGTCCTTGTTAAGAACTCTGTGCTCTCACAGTCTGAGGAAGATTTAATTTTGAAAACACATTTGGTATCATCGGCTCCATCTAGTGTCATTGTGGTGAAGCGAAAGCTAAGCGGTGCCGTTAGTAGTGGAAGCAGTAGTAGTAACCACACTGTTACCAGTTACGGTTCGGGTTTAGTTAATGAGGAAATTTGTACTAGTACAGCTCCATTGAGATCCAACAATACTCGTGCTACCAGTGAAATTGGTGACAATGCTCAAATTGATAATCGTTCCGCTACACCATCTTTGGTGAATAGTAAGACCACAGAGGGTGTTGATTGCACAAGTACAACTCCAAGTGAAAATAATTGTGATGATGATATAAACGAAGTGTTAAAATTAAATTCGAATTCAGTTAACGATGCCGATAAATATGAAGAACAATCAGTTAAATTAATCGAAATTATTGCAAAAGGTGGATTTTCCAAATTTAAACAGTTCTGCTATGCCATCGATAACGAATGTCCAAAATTAATTGAGGATTTGTTCAATGATAAAGAAAAGTGTGGTAAGTTATCTTGGAATCTACAATATATATTGTTACGATTTTACTGAATCAACCTCGATTATTTTCTAGATCCTTCGGGTACGATCTCTGGATTGTTAAATAAAAACTCGCCAACTTAGTTTGCAGTTTCTTTCGTTATAAAGATTCTATCTAATGTCCTTTATTCTCTCAGTAATTCACAATTCAATTATACTGCACTTTACTATTTATAATCACTAACATCAACTTTCACAATTTCCTCTACTTAAATGTAATTCCCTACGCGTTCACTTTACGTCTTCACTGATGTTAACGCCAACCAATTTGCTTTGTCACTGCTTGACTTGCAGCTGAGTGTCGCCTTTATATAGCAGTCGGCTGCTCGCAGACGAAAGCGTAGAAGCATCGAATTGTTCGCTATGGAAGGTTCTTGTGTTATCGGCTTCTCTCTTTCATCTGACATTCGCCTCGCATTTTCGCAACAATATGTATGTATGTATGTATACGACATATCTCGAAAATGGCTGTAATGATTTTGATCATATATTTGCGTATTGTTTATAATTTTAACGTAATCTTCTTAAGTATTGCCTCCAATAATGATTTTAACCGCTGATGGGATTTACCGCGGAACTCCTTCTCCGATTTGAGGTGTGCGTATAGATGTTTACCATAAAATTTAGGGACCTACAGTTTATTCTAAGCGTCCTTCGAATAGCTGATGGATTCTTATGAGAAGCAATCGGAGGGTTAACGTTATCTGCCGGAGGCCGACCGCAATTAGAAAAATTAATTATTTTTTTTTATAAATTTAGATGTTGGTCGTATCAGAACTGGAATACAGGCCTTCCGAATGGCAGTAGGCAATGCTAACCACTCAGCTGTTGCGATCGCCGTATTCCTAATTGAAATTAGTTTGAAGTTGGAATACATTAGGCATGTTTTGCATTTCACTTCCGAGTACAAGTACAATGAAAGTACTACTATTTGACTTTTTCGTTTTCGAATATGAAGTTGCCATGTACTGAAAACCGTTTCCACATAAAAATATGTAGTTTCAAACTACATCAAATTTGCTTTGTGGATTTATGGAAAGACCACGCAAAACCCTAAAACAATAAAATATTAAATATTTGAAATGTGTATATAACGTTTACGGTAAAATATACTTCATTCTGAAACAAAATTCTTTTCAAATTAGCACTGAGGCCTTTTGCACATTAGCTGTTCCCCGATCTGACACTGCTGCCAACATTAAAATGTAAGATGAGGAACGCTCTCAGCTGCAATATGAGCGAATTCGAGTGTTTCGTATCTAGTCATCATTGCCAATGGTAAACGGATGTTACGTGTCGACTGCCACAATCACACTTATTAGAGTACCTTGTAAATGAAAACTCACCACCCAGTATGTACATACCAAAGCGTGAAGTTGAAAACAGAATGTGCATCACGGATAACGGACCACGAGCTGTCCAATTATCGTTAGCCGTGCATTTAGCTACTCGTAAATAATCAAAATGAAAGCAGTAGCGACAGCAACTTGGATATATTCACTGGGGAAAATTAGTGATATACATGATATGATTATTTATCAATAAGATATTTTCATGCTGACTTAGTTTATTCGTAGATGCTGTTTGTTAAATCTACAAGATTTATGTTTTTGATACATTTAATGCAGTATTGGCAACGCTGTGCCTACTTCCTGTAGGAACTTCCTTCCAGAAATAATTAAACAGTTACGAAGTGTCAACATTTTTCGGTGCAAATTTCAAATTTCAATATTCCGTGAGAGCGCTCAAAAAACCGCATTTTTTATAACATTTCTGAACAGTGCCACTGTGATAGAAAAACGACTTTTTTGGATTTTTAGGTATATTTTGGGCATATTATTACAAACAACGACATCTTTAATTGCAATTTCACTAAAATATTTCATTGAGAAACAATTTAATATTTAATTATATTAAGTTTTAATAATAAAATTACAATAATTTCTTTAATATTTACTGCTGAAGCAAATTTCTTTTGAAACAAAAACAATGGATTTTTTTTTTGGCATAGTGGCACTGGTGCGTTTTACACATCAGATGTTGAATGTTCCCCGATCTGACCCTGCTGCCAACATTAGAATGTGAGAAGGGGGTACGCCTTCAGCTGCGATTTGAGTGATTTTGAGTAAGTTTCATTTCTGGTCATCTTTGGCACATTTTACTGCTTTTTTTCCCTTATTGAACGTGATTCAATAAAATTTAGTAACGTTCAGTAAGAGCATTTGAAAATAATATTAATAATATAAATCCCCTTATGAATTCAAGGTCCATAGCTGCTGAGCAGCTACGTTGAGGAGAATGGAATGGTGTAATGCATAGCCGATAGTTGTTTATCTTCGATTCTAGTATTTATATAATAAATATTTGGTATTTAGTTTTTATTTTCAATCACGATTTTGTCTTTGAACTTTGAACTTTAATATTTATATATCAAAAATTTTTAACCAAATGTTTTTCCAATTCTTAAATTTTGAATTCATTATACATGTTGTTAATATAATATAATCTGGTGCCTAAAACAAAATAAGATTTTTCAACACATTCCATTTACTAATTTTGATTTTTCTATATTATTTACAAGAATGCACATTTGTTGTTGCGTTGGGAAACCCACTACAATAAAACTTCAAATCAAATTGAAAAATAATTTAAGAAATAAGCTGCCCACACAAACTTGCTGCGACAAAACTAAAACGTGATTCCAAAGTTACTTGTTTCTTCTTTTCATTATTGGTCATACGGTATTAATATCTAATTTTGTTACAAATAAACAAAATATTGTCGATCAAATTACGTAACTGCAATAAACTTTAATTATATTTTTGGAGCTAAAGCAAAAAATCGTTATAAACCACTCGAAGTCGGTATAATAAGATATTACAAACATTTTATATGAATTAAATAGAGGTGGATTGGTCATCAATATGGTAAGAGAATTTAACATTCATAACCTAGTCGTTTCCAGAATAATATGTTTTTTCGCGAATCGGTAAAACCAATATCTAAAAGTTATAGAAAGTTAATTTAAATAACATAAAATTAAGTTAATTTAATCCCTGGTTTGTTTGTATGAATGAATATTTTAGCGGTGTTCTCCGAAACAGCTGCTACCTCTATAGTTTTACTTTGTTGTATAACCAAAATATTCAATTCATGCAAACAAACCAGGCTTGTAGCTCGCAAAAAAACTTAAACAAAGAATTAATAGCATGACGGCAAAAACAATTATGAAAAACAAAGCTACATTTTCTAATTGCGATCGCCCCTCGGCAGGGAATTTCGAGACCTTCGAGTGTATTTCTGACATGAAATAAAACTCCTCATGATAAACCATCAGCCGTTTGGATTGTTGGTAAGCAGATCAAAAGAGAAATGCTTAATTCCACACACATTTGCCTTCAAAAACTCTCTTCAGACAGTTTTGTTACCCCATGGCAAGGCAGAAATTTCATCACCATTAAACAAACCAACATGATAACAATCCCAAATAATAATAAATGGATGATAGACAGGTTTATTGCCAATAAAATCGAGGTATTGGAGGTCTGCACATCCTCCCGATTCCGACCACACAGAGAGTGTGAGAGATATTGTAGATCGGCGAATATAGAATTGAGAACTATACAATAAGCTTTTGAAAGACGTGTTAAAGATTAAAATTGAGTACATGAGTTCACAATGAAGTTTTGATAAACAATGGATTCGCTACGAAATATTAAAACTAATAAGTTTTTTTCCAATTATTGATAAACTATGCTTTAGTTTTGACTCAGTAAATTTGTGCGGGCGGTTGGTTTGTTAATTATTACTAGAATTTAAAATTTCTATTTTATTCGTTTTCTGACCAACAAATGTCGTTATCACAACAACAAATTTAACTTCTTGAAAATAATATATTTAAAAAACTGAATTTTGTCAATGACGATTTCATTTCATTTTGTAGTAAATTTCGTTTTTTAGTTTTGTCGTACACTGTAGATGAGCGTATGAAATGCACGGCTATATACATAAGTATACACTGTTGTTGGTTACATTTATTTAAATTTTTAGCTTTCGGATTTTTCAAGTAGCTCATGGTAAGACCGAACACTTTTTATACTTTAACAAAATCAAAGATATTTAATTTTCAGACATAAAGGTGAGAACAGGAGAACAAGTACAGCAGTAACCTTGTTATTTTAAATTTGTCTTTGCGTAACATTGTCAAAATCATAATAAATTAATTATTTCTCCCGCAAACGAAAATATACAAATCACAATTCAGTAGATTTTCACTTTCACAAATAGATAATCAATTCAGGCCAACAACAATGAATGAACAAATTTTAATTTGGTGCCGTAGTAACTTCACCCTCTTTTATCAGTGTCTTGTGGTGGGATACAGCGTCCATTTATACGTTCAAATCGTTCAAATCGTTAAAAAAAATATAGCAACAATTTTAACGAATTGATTATTCGGCATACATATTTTAAGGATATTCGCCCTTGGTGGATCAGATGTTGTCGTTAGCTACTCTAGATCCACCGACATAAGATTTGATAATTTATCCAGATTAAAATAAAATAATATACATAGTTTTTAAAACTACATATATAATATAAAAGCATTAAAAAAAAATAAATAATCAACTATGGAATTTGAGTGCTATTGGGAACATCAATTGCATTTATATGACAAACATGAGCCCTAAAAATCGGGAAGAAACCTACATATATCAACCACCACGAATACCACTCTAGCAATATGAAAATGATGAGAGTAAAATGTTTGCAATAGTTATTATTATATTTATTGTGAACTATTGTGGGAAAAAAGTGATAAGCATAAGAGTTTCGTCGAAGATAACACGATACTTACTTACTTTACTGGAGTAGACATCGCTTACGCGATTATAGCCGATTTAATAACATTGCGCCATTCGTTTCTTCTGTTTGGCGCCAGGTTCTTCTCTATCTGGTCTTTCTAACGGTGTTGAGCTCTTCCTCTGCGATATTCGCCGTTGCCAACGCGCAAAGGCGAAACCTTTCTCTCGGAAACTCTTAACGCCGTCTTATCAGACCATGCAATCGTCCTTGCTTCTGCTCCATATAGCAGGACGGGAACGATGAGGCATTTATAGAGTTTGGTTTTCGTTCGTCGGGAGAGGACTTTACCTTTCAATTGCTTAGTCAGTCCAAAGTAGCACCTGTTGGCAAGAGTGATTCTGCGCTGGATTTCAAGGCTGAAGTTATTATTGGTGTGAATGCTGGTTCCTAGATAGACGAAATTATCTACGATGACTGTTTATTTGATGATAGGAGATATTTCGTCTTGTCCTTGTTCACTACCAGACCCCTTCGCTTCGCTTCTATATCAAGCCTGGAGAAAGTAGAGCTAATAGCGCGGTTGTTGAGGCCGATAATGTCAATATCATCCGCGTACGCCAGTAGTTAAAAACTCCTATAGAAGATTGTATCTTCTCTTCAGCATCAAATTGAAGAAATCATTCAACAAAGCGTCACCCTGTCTGAAACCTCGTTTGGTCCCGAATGGCTCGGAGAGGTCCTTCCCAACTCTGTGCTTCTGGTGTTGTCTAATGTCAGCTTACACAGTTGTATAGGTTTTGCGGGGATACCAAATTCAGACATAGCGGTGTAAAGGCAGCTCCTATTCATGCTGTCGAAGGCGGCTTAAAATCGACGAAGAGGTGGTGGGTGTCGATCCTCTTCTCACGGGTCTTTTCCAAGATTTGGCGCTTGTTGAATATCTGGTCAATGGTTGACTTACCAGGTCTGAAGCCACACTGATAAATTTCAATCAGTTTATTGACACGCTCGACAGGACCTTATAGGCAAACTTCTTCGTGGTCAGGTAATGAAATGTCTTTTCCATCGTCATCGATTCGTGTTTCGGGTTCACCATCTCCGGATTCTCCATTTTCACTAATATTCAGCAGGTTGGAGTGTTCCCTCCATAAATTCAATATATTCTGGTCATCGGTAGCTAGATCACCTCTTTGTCTCCTTCAAGAGTCTGATCCGGTCTTGAAACCTTCCATAAGTCGTCGTATCTTCTCAAAGAATTTTCAAGCATTCGTTTGCGGGGGTCGTCAACAGAAAGGGAGTATCTCATCCGAGGCGTTTTTGGACTTTTCATTGCAGCTGGTTTCTACGTGGTGGTTCCCAAACCCAGCGCACAACCTTGCTAGGAAAGTAGGTTTATAGTTTTTACACATTTATATAGCGAGCCGCTTGTTTCAAGACCGACGCCCGCTCGCAGCCGCACCTCTGGTGAACAGACTCCGCTATTACAGTTCAGCAGACCCTTAAACAGAATAAGTCGGACTGGCCTTACTGAAACTTCCTCTATCATTAGCCGTGACCTAAGGCTTCACACGAGTTGGTTACCGCATCTTGCACAAGGGTGGCTTTCGTTTCCAGGGTGCGTGACGTGGACGCAAGAGTAGGACGGTCTCAGCATACCCAGAAGCTTGATTATACCCTATTACACCCACCACACAAAACTCTCAAATCGCAGATAAATCCGTTCCTCGATTTTTTTTTGTGTGTATGGAAACAGAGTCAAAATGCAAGAACTTTGAATAGCTGATCATTCAGAAGCGTCCGTACTACTAGTCAATGACGAATCGCACCGTTTTTCGAGCATATAAATTTTTATTAAGTTAAAATCAAGAAAAAGCATTGTTTTGTTTTTTGAAGCCAAATATAGCTGTAAATGTGTATAAATTTTTTTAATTGTTTATTAAACGACTGCTTTTTTAAACTTAAATGGATTGTACTGAGAATCTTCGCATGCTTTTGTATTACTTTTTATGCTCCGATTTCAAATTGCTTAATATACGAGGTGTGTTCAATGTGTCCCGAACTTTTAATCTATCGTGGGATAAGCCTCCATAATATCGCATACAAGATCCAATCTGGACTAAAGCCCACCGTAAACTTATCAGCGTGGCTTTAGAACTGTAAAATCCACCCTTGATCAGATATTACACAACATCAAAAGCTCCATCAGTATCGGGAAGGACATATCTGAGCTGTTCAATACAAAATGAGGTTATAGAAAAGGTGATTCCTTGTCGTGTGACTTTTTTATTCTGTTGCCGGAGAAAACAATTCGGGCTTGAGAGGTTTAGAAAATTAATTTAAATGAAAAATTAAGTAAAACTTTCTAATAGCGGTCGCCCCTCGGCGGGGATTGTCAACCCCTCTGAGTGTATTTCTGACATGATATAAAGGCTCCTCAAAAAATCACCATCAACCGTTCGGAGATGGGAAAACATCAAGACGCAAAACCACTAATTGGAGGAGGAGCTCGGTCGAAAATCGCTTCAACGGTTATAGTACGTCAATTATATTAAAACAGTTAATGCCTTTGGATCACGACAGTTCAACTGCTCACACCATGGCTTGTTCGTGAATTTCTGTCAAAAAAAAAAATACTGGAACGATGTCCCGGCCTCTATATTTTGTCCTCATTTGAATTGTGAGCCTTAAAGACGGAAGTTTTGTAGCCATAGAGGGTTTTAAAAACACATTGCTAAAAGAACTAGAGGCTAACTTAAATATAGAGTTTGACAAGTGCTTAGAGGATTGGAGAAAGCGCTGGCAAAAAGTGCATAATCTCGAATGGGGACTATTTTCCAGGCGTCAATATCAATGTTGACTAATAAATAAATACTATTTTGTTAAAAAAATGAAAACTATTTAGTTTTTGTATATACCTCGTAGATACAGGCATACTTACATATGTCGGTCTCTTCTCTGGCATTCCACTGAATGTACTTGAAGTACTTTAAAAGAGTTTAGCGGAGTAAATTTGTTTATATGCATGTATAGACATCAAGTTTATAAATATCTATTTGGGCATTCTCTTGTATCTGCTTATTATGTACTTCCTAGACATTACACTTGTATGAATGCACAAATGTATAAAATACTTTAGAAACTTATTATAAAGAAAAAATAGTAGATTTCAATAGAGATCTTGCTGATAAATCTATGTTTATATATATTTTTATAAATATGTATATGCATGTATATGCATAAGGAAAAGAAGTTTGGGAAAAACCTAAAATTAAATCCCCTGCCTTTTTTAAGATTGAAATTAAAGAATCGCAAACGGACTAAGTAATAAATTCATTTGATAAATAATTTCTTTCACCAATCGTCAAGTTATGTGAAAAATAAAATGTATGTAACTTTGTACTGAGTTTACTAACTTATGAATATCAAAACACGTCTACTGACAAATAAACAGATAACATCTTTTAAACTATCACTGAAATGGGTGGTGGATTCTAGCAACTTCGATAGGGTATATAAAACTTATGTTATGAGATGTCAATAATTCGAGGAATCATAGGGATAACTGCTTCACTTCTTGTAGTTTTAAAAAGTTAAACAATATCAATCTCAACTTTTCTACATTTTGGGCATGACAAGCGAAGGCTCTTACCGTCTTGATTTAAGCCGGTGCATTTAGCCATCGCAAATCCAACAAAAAATATGATGATCGGTAACACTTTTCAAACGAACAGGACATCGTTTCATTTTCATCTCCACTATCTTGGTCAGCCACCACAAGATCGTTAAGAAGAAATTAAATAAACCCCGAATCGATCCGTTGCATGCTCCTCCGCATCCTCATTTATAGTCAACGTGCAATACATACCTACAGAAGATCTAACATAATAGCATCAAATGGCAATAAAAAAAATGTAAACAACAATCTGACTGAACTGGGAAGAAATTAAACAAAAATGTATTTGATTTTAAAAATGAATAAGAAAGTAATTACAATGAGAGTGGAAAAGGATTTTGCATACGTTTTGGTTTATTCTTATGTTGTAATTAATCTTATAAAAAAAAATGTGTATTTCCGAGTTTTAATTGCATAAGCAAATTATGAAATGCACCTTTTTCACTTTACCATACTCTTCTCTCCAGTTTTTTAATAAATCGAAAGTGTGTGTAATATTACGTGCACATGCTTGCTTGCTAGGAGCATGGGTAGTACATGCCTTCGAACAATTTACTCTCAACATCCGCCCTTATGCTTGATTTACTCTCATAGAGTTGTCGGTGAATTGTATTTCAATTACAATTTGATGAGTCGTTACTTTTTTTGTTTTGTTGAAGTTGTTGGAATATTATGGTAGCTACTGAATTGATTTACTCATATTTAAATCGCTCTTTTGTTCTGTGCTTATTGTAAGAGTAAAGAGGGGCAATTGAATAACCTCCATTCGTTTAACTGTTGGTTTTGCAAGTTATTCTATCTAAAATAGCTCAAAACCCCTACTAAAAAATTTTCGTATTAAAAATAACGAGCCCAGTGCGCAAAAATATGTAAAAATTTTCGCCTTTTCAGAAACCTATAAATTTTGTATACTTTATATTTAATATTATCAAAAATAGAACGGTAATTACTTAATGGAAACGTAGTTTTGACTGCAGAATGACTAAGCTTAATAATAAATTTTATCGTTAAATAATAACCATGTATCCAATAATTAATTTCCAGATGTGTCAACCAACAAAACTACTTCAAGCGAAGATAAACTTCAAAAAGAACTGGAGTCGATTGAATATATTGACAGGTAAGTAAAAAAAAGGGAATAATTTAGTACATAAGCATTAAAAATTAACCTTACAACTACAGTATGTGTAAAAATTACGAGCATATCATTTTCAAATTATGATTCCGGGAGAATTCCATGCTGTTTTGAAGTCCTGTCTTACAGGCCTATGCTCACTGTTACCGGTAAAGTAAATTTTTTCATTCTTTTAATACCCGAAATTGAATTTGGTATTCTGGCGAACTGGCTACAATGTTTGCAATTTACGTTTGCCAGTTGGTAGAGTAAAAAGAAGAATATTCATTTATATATTTGCATTTTGGCGAAAATACTGAACGACAAATTTAAACGGTCATTTTTTTCGGAAACTTCTTAACATGCGCCTTCTTGTCCTTTTTTGTTCGTCCTTAATTAATTCTAGACGTTAAATATGTCTATACATTTAGTTACCTCGACATAACAGACCTGTTAGTGATAAATCGTAAACTTAGAATGATAAACGTATAAATTTTTCTTTGCGTGAAAGACATGAACGTAGGCATTTAAAAGATCATCTCTAGTTTCGAAATGGGAAAAGAAACCACTGTAGATTTTAGCCCTGCGCACAACCACTATTGCCACTGATATTGCTCAGTATTAAATGACTTATTTTAAGAATAAATTGTTTGATAAAACAAGCAATAACAATAAAAAGTTTTATTTGTTTTGTATTAGAACCATTCCGTAAAATTTACAATAACATTTATATACACAGCCGTAATCCTATTCCACAATGTGAAATCAAAAATTTCCTATGAAAGTGAATTGTTGTGCTTTTCTTTCCGCAAAATTTGTCATCGATAAAAGTCATCCATCTCTTTTTTACCATGAAACCTTGCACACACATATCGTTTTTCGTTTTTGGTTATTCACAAATAGCTGTTGTTGAAAATTTCCTTTGAATTGGAGCTATGTCTCAATTTTTCCAGGCATCATCAGAAATCATCAAAAATATTAATTGTTCGCTAAATAGCTAATTCAAAAATGGTTGAAATATATTCTGCCTGTTAGAAAAGCATGAAGTGAGAAAAAACTAACACATCGGAACAGTTTGATTATTTTTTTTGATTTACTGACAACAATATTTACGAAATTTCAATCCGAATGCACGGGGATATTTTTGAATATAAAAATGGAAGCACGGCTGATAGTTCTTAATGACTTATAGAATGACGTTATGGTTTTAGGGTCAAACAAAAAGTCACTCATAGATATTATTTAACCTTATTGACAAGTGGAGCAAATTTAATAAAAGGCAAAATAAATATTTTCCGGAAAAGTAGCATTGTAATCTATTTTCGCAGGCTTCTCTTGAGACTAAAGGGTGCGAGGTCCGGAATGCAAGCTATCCATAAGAACCTCACAAATGGCACATCACTATCGATGTCTGTGGTGTGGCGTTAGTCAAAGCTGGGCGCTTCTGAAATATTCATACAGTCCAATTGGTGGCAGTACAGGTTTCAGCTAAAGGCTTGGCAGTAGGGGAGTAGCTCGTAGTGGTTGATTCCTTACCTTGGCTTGGACACCTTTTGCTCTGACTTACCGGCCTTCGACCATGACCGTTTTAGTTTGAATTTGCTCTAAGTGTACCACTTTACATCACGAGTCACCATCCACTTCAGAAATTGTTTCGATTCAGCAGCGATTTGCAGACGAAGTTCGGTTCATGAAGTTTTTTCTCGTTACCTCATGTGGCACCCATACATCGGGTTTTTTTCTGTATCCAGCCGTAATACAGTGTTTCCAAATAATATTTTGGGCAATGTTTAGGTTCCTGGACCATCGAACAGGGCTTGCATGATGGTCAGACTCAGCAATTTCGATTATTTTATTGACACTTTCGACACATGATCTTCCACACAGTGGATCATATGTAGTGTTTCAACCAACATATTTTTATTCAATCAAAAACACATAAAATGAGTGAAATACTTTTAATCTAATAAACTTTACTTAATTTTTACATAAAAATTTTTATTTACAAAAAATGAAATCATTTTGCAAAGCTTTGAAGTTTACGTATGTATGTATCTTTTTGCAGTTTGGCATTTGCAGGCAAACGCTGAAATCGGGTAAAATTTGCTATCTCTCAAATAAATATATTGCTATTCGTACTAGACTATGGTCGATATTCCAAAACGTTGCAGTGAAAATATTTCTATACAAATTTCACTTTCTATTATACATCCACAAGTCAAATATTACAGTGAATAGTACTTTCGAATACAAAACCTTAAGTTGATAGACAAATAAAGTGTTGATTAGCATATTTGTTTTATGCATACATTTTCGATTATGCTAATCACAATTTTTTGTTTGAGACATTCGAAGACACACTCCACACAATAAACTGAATTCCACACTGGCTTAGCTAGCTGTACCCACTAAAATATTCACCACATTTTGTGAACATTAAGCCGATAGCAGATAGAATTTTTTCGCAAAACGAAAAACGTTTACACAATGACTGAATGAACATATTTCCTTTATTTTATTTTATTATTCTCTATCAATAAGTTAAAACTCTATTACATTAACTAATACTGAAACTAGTTTGAAACTTTTCGAATCAAATTGTATGGAAATCAATCACGAAAACAGATAGAAATTAGAATCAGCTGATAGTCAGTGTGCACAAATTAGTGTTGACTAACTTATAACGCTGCGTTGGCGTTCGTGTTGCTTAAGGTCAGGTTCCTTCAAAAAATGTGTTTTTCCAAACAAATTTTATTTATTAAAAAAAAAAAATATTTACAAATGAAAGTGTTTATAGATAAGTAGGCGTATAAAAATATTAATTGAAAAGTAATTTTCTTTTTTTAAACTGCTGCTGAAGTTCAGGTTGATAAGTTTAATTCGTTCTAAATAAGAGTGTTACCTAGTGGAAAGAACGATTGAAGTACACGGGCGGCCGGATTTACCACTTGACGCGGTCTGTTCTCCCCTTTTATATACTTACTTCTTGCTCTGGCGGACCTTCGGGACTAAATCTATATTATTTCTAAGAGTATTTTCCAGCAATTTCCAGTAAAAAAATCGTTTCTTTTTAAATGAACCTGGCCTTAAGTGGGCAAATTCGAAGAGTTCTAAGTATTCACCTTAAACGTTAAAGTCAATAACGCAGAAGTCAAGCTAAATTTTTAGAACTTAGTAACGAGAAATTTCAAAACTTTAATTCGTCAATCATTGCTGCTGTTGTCGTTGTTGTTGTTGTTGCAGCATATACTTAAACTGTTGCAGTTAAGTGTGATGGCTCTTAAGAATTTTAATCTAATTCATTCTAGACCATCTTTATGTGCCTTAGCCAGGGTTCTATTAATACGTACATATATCCGGTGTACAGTTACTTCAACAACTAGTTCATCTCTCAATCTCCATTGGATTAGGAGAACATGCACGAATGATCGGAACCAAAAATGACTGGACTCCAAGATTTCTGGCGCTGATTTTTTGGAGGTTGCATCATTACAACTTTTCTCCTTGATGAGTTTTAACGTTTGAAAGACCTCTTTTATCACATTAGGGTTTCCATATCCACACGATTTCCGTTCACAATACTCTGAATTTTTACTTTTTCTAGATGTCCTCTCACGGATTCGCCATTAGCTGATTGACCAAAAGTTCTCTCTTTTTGTGCTTCTGGTAGTGGTTCCCTAGTTCTATATGGAAGAGTTCTCTCCAACGCTTGCTACCTTAACGGCTTTCTACGACTCGCATTAATGCCTCATAATTATTTCTTTCATATTCTAGAAAAAAAGGATCTGCGCCGCTTTAACTTCTTTAGCCTCATTATTTGCTGAAATCGTCTGTTTCGTGATTTTACGACCATGGAAAAGTGATTTGGGCCATTCAAAGAGAAGTACCACAGCTGTCCTTAAATTCTCATTAACTTGTTTGTCCACGTCGAAGCCATACTTTTCCGTGGTCTCTTGCAATCGATCCACTATTTTTTCTTTTCCTCAGACGGACGACAAATTCCTGCTTTCAACTTAAGCTTCTGATCCTTAGTCGTCATTTGATCATTTTCAATTATTATCCTTTTTATTATACTTAACAACCCCAGTTCTGGTGGCTCCTAACCACTTAGGGGTGGCCAACATTCCATATTTTAGAAAAATTGAGTAATTCAAAAATACGGGGAATTTTCTTATTGCAGTCGTCCTTGGTCCCTCCAGGGGTATTTCTGACATGAAACGAAAGCTCCTATGAGAATCCGTATGATGTCAATTTAATTTTTCTAAAAACATCACAGTACAATAATGAAGCAAAACGGAGAACTGAACACGTATGCCACAAGTTTAATTAATATACTTTCTGTGTCACTGCCTATCGTCCTGTTGCTTCCCGAGCACACTCAATTTGTATGCGATGAATATACTGCGCATTCTTGACGGTGCAAGTATAACACAAATGTCAAAAAATACACCGCGAATACACAAAAAATTTGTAGGGCCAATATTCCTCAATAATGGATTCTTTTCACTCGCGTTAAAGACGAAAATATCAAGGACTATGCCTTCGATTGGACTAATTCGAAATTTTAGGATATTGATCGCCGAGGCTCGATTAAACTTTTTGTATGGATGTATCTTAATAAAGTTTAATAATCACTCAAAAATAACTTTAACACTTTATCAAGATCACGTTAAAAGCAAAAATTTACGAACCTCAAAACATATTTCATATGTACTAATTCAAATTTAGTTCGAAGATACTGTAATGCACTCTGCATAGTAATCATACGACAGTGAAATATTAAAGCCCACGTACTGATTAGATTTTATTAGGCTTCAAACCTGACAGATCCAGCAGTTAACATACATACATCAAATAGTGTAATTAGTTTACACGAAAAGAAGATGCGACGAAATATCTCTTGTCTTCAAAAAAATACTTAGCGTAGACTAAACCAACCAGATGTATGTTGCAATACCTTAGTAGATTTATCACAGTGTTAATATATTTTTTCCAATAGCTATTAT